CAATTGGTCATTGGATTAAATGTGAACAGCGGAGGAAAAAACAAACAAAAAAGAACCTTGAATCCTAGTTACAGTGGAAGCCAAGGTGACCCCATGTCAAGCAAAGCAATGAGGGTATGGTCATCCCAGCTACCCAAGAGGCAGAAGTAAGGAGGATCGCTGTCCAAGGCCAGCCCCAAGCAAAAATGCAAGGGCTTTAACGTGAAAAGTAAATGGGAACGAGATAAGAGTTCAAGTGGTAGAACACCCTGCCAGGAAAGTCTGAGGAACGTGTGTGTGTGTGTGTGTGTGTGTGTGTGTATACACGCATGTGTTCGTATACAGGACAAGTATGCATGTGTGGTAACTAGTATGGTGCATACACATGCATTGATATGCATGTACGTCAGAGTGTTTGAATACACAATGGCAGAAACGGAATTGTGCGGCCACATTCAGAAGCCCAAATAGTTCCAAAAAAGCTGAGGGGTTGGCGGCATGGCTCAAGTGGTAGAGCACCAGCCGATGAGCAGAATGCATCAGGTACTAAGCATTAGTCCCAGTCTGGTCAGAAAAGAAAAACAGCTGGGCAGCGGTGGCTCACAACTGTCGATCCTAGCTACTCGGGTGGCTTTGGATCTTAGGCTGGTGGTTTGAAGCCAGGCTGGGCAGACAAATCTTTATTTTTCTTTTGTTGCCAGTCCTGGGGCTTGAACTCAGGGCCTGGGTGCTGTCCCTGAGCTTCTTTTGCTCAAGGCTAGCGCTCTACCACTTGAGCCACACAGCACCACTTCTGGCTTTTTCTGTGCACGTGGGGCTGAGGACTCGAACCCAGGGCTTCCTGCATGCCAGGCCAGCACTCGACCACTGAGCCACCTTCCCAGTCCCCTTAGCTTTCCTTTTTTCGGTACAAGGCTGGGCCTTGCCCGCTCGGGCCACGCTCCCACACCCAGCCTGGCACTCTCATTGGTGGGGCCCTGGGGAGCCCAGTGGGGGACCGCCCTGTCTCTCCAGATAGACAGCCAACAGCTGGGCCCTCCAGAAAAGCAGCCTGCTTTCTCCTCCGGCCAAGTCAGCTTCAGTTTACCATCCGGCCTTTCTCTTCCTTCCCCCCCCACAACTAATTTTAGCCTCCTTGGGGGTTCACAGGCAAATGGGAACCTGGGGTGAAGAAGATCACCTTTTGCAAGTGACATTCCCCCCTAACATCCCTCCCTCCAGCCCAGATCACTGGCTAGGAAAGACAAGGCAAGGTCGTGGGGGGGGGGGGAACCTCAAATCTGTCCAGTTGGGGTACTGCTTCCCTTTCAAAACGGCTTCCTGGTTTTTTTGGGGGGAGCTCGGTTGTAGGCCTGATCTCTGTCCCTGAGCTCTACCACTTGAGCCACAGCGCCACTTCAGGGTTTTTCTGCTTATGTGGTGCTGAGGAATCGAACCCAGGGCCTCATGCATGCGAGGCGAGCGCTCTACCACTGAGCCACCCTGCCAGCCCCAGCGTTCTGTGTTTTTTCTTTCAGCAATCAGTCCCTGAAGGAAAGCAACAGGCTACAGATGTTAATAGCTGACGATCTAAAGGAATAAAATTAAACTTTTAAGGCTTATGCATACATAACGCCAGAGGGAAATGTTAAAAATCGAATTAAAGTCTGGGGCTCTTGTAGGAAAGGGGCCCGGCTGGCATTTCCAGGCCTTTCCAGTCCTTTCCTTTATCTTCTCCAGAGCTAACAGCCCACAGCACATGGAAGCCCCAGAGGACACCCCGGTCTCCAACCCCAGAAACCTCCAAACCAACCAACAAGCAAAAGGCCCAGGGGCCAGCCTTGGCCCACCAGAGACCCTAGGCTCCCAGAAACTGCCAAGAAGTCAGGCCTGGAGGGGGGTGTGGCCCGGGGGCAGAGCGCCCCGCCTTGGGCAGCAGAAAGCCAGGGGACGGTGCTGGGAAGGGGGTGCCCAGGAGGCGGGGCTGGGAGAAAGGGAGGTGGTGGGAAGGGGGGTGCTGGGAGGGGGGGTCACCTCAGCGGGGGGTTTCCCCTCCCCTCCCCACGGCTGCCACCACCTCCTGGGGTGCTGTGTGTAAGAGGGGGCAAGGACGCCTCAAACCAGCGGCCGGGCACAGACCCCTCCCCGCGCCTCGCCGGACCCCTCAGCCCACTGGACGCCCATGCGGCCTGGGGGGGCGCGGCCTGGGGAGGAGGGGACGCGGCCTGGGATGGAGGGGACACGGTCTAGTGGATGGGATGCAGATTGGGGGAGATGCGGCCTGGGGTAAGGGACACCTGGTGGGGGGATGCGGCCTGGGGTGAGGGACATGGCCTGGTGAGGGGGAGTGGCCTGTGAGTGGGGAGGGGACGAGGCCTGGGGGTGGGGGAGACCCGGCCTAGGGGGGTGGGGCCTGGGGGAGACACGGCCTAGGGGGACGGGGCCTGGGGGGGGACAAGTCCAGGGGCTGGGGGGGGGGGGCGTGGGGAGTGGGAATGCTTCCTCGTATGTTCTCTGCAGAACCCGCGCCCAAACACCCGCATGTACACGCGCACCCCGACCGGGGCGGTGGGCTGGGGTGCAGGGCTGGGGGCGGGGGGGGGGGGGGAGGAGGGGGCCCGGGGGACCCCAAGCCAGCGCTTCCTCCCCGGCCTGCCTTGAAACACAACCCGGACCGACCGGCTCGCAGGACTCCGGAAGGGCGCGAGGTGGGGGGGGGCGGGAGGGGGGGCGGCCAGCCGGGAGAGGGACGACGGGGGAGACGCTGGGGAGCCGGGAGGATGGCAAGTTTGTGGGGAACTGAAAGCTTGGCGGAGAGACAGCAAGGTTAGGGGGCCGCGGGCGGGGAGTTGAGGGTTTTGCGCTCGCGTAGGGACTGTGGCAAATTGGGGAGGGGGTCAGGGCGCGGGGGAGGGGGTCACGGCGCGGGGGAGGGGGTCAGGGCGCGGGGGGCAGGGGGGTCAGGGCGCGGGGGAGGGGGTCAGGGCGCGGGGGAGGGGGTCAGGGCGCGGGGGAGGGGGTCACGGCGCGGGGGAGGGGGTCAGGGCGCGGGGGAGGGGGTCACGGCGCGGGGGAGGGAGGGGGGGGTCACGGCGCGGGGGAGGGGTCACGGCGCGGGGTGTCGCCGGCTCGCGGAGGGGGGTCCCCAGCACGGGCGCAGCGCGGGGCGCAGGGTCCGCCCTTTGTTGATCTACAGCGCGCCGCCCCGCCCCGCGCGCCCCGGCCCCGCGCCCCCGACGGCCCGGCCCCGCGCGCCCCGCGCCCCCGACGGCCCGGCCCCCACCCCGAGGCCCGGCCCCGCGCGCCCCGCGCCCCCGACGGCCCGGCCCCCACCCCGAGGCCCGGCCCCGCGCGCCCGCACGTCGCCATCCCGGCCCCGGCCCGCGCCCCCCGGGGCCCCGCGCCCCCCGGCCCGCGCTTACCCGCGCACAGCGACCCCCAGACGAGCAGCAGCGCCGCCCAGGCCGCCGTCATGTTCCGCCGCGCCGCCCCCGGGTCCCGGCGCCGCCGGCCGGGCGGGCGCCCCGCCGCTCACCGCGCGGCTGCTCCGCACCGGGGGCCCCGGGGCGATCGCGAGGCTCGGGGGGCTCAAGGCCGCAGCGCGCGGCGTGGCCGGCGGCCCGGCGCGGGGCGCGAGGCGGGGGCCGGGGGGCGGCGGCGGGGCGCGGGCCGGGGCGCGCGGGGGCCGGACATCGGGGCGCCGGGCGGGGCCCGCACCCCGGGCCGCGGGGCCGTGGAGTCCGGGGCGGCCATGAACGGGAGGGGGGGGGACGGCGGGGGGAGGACGGCGGAGGCCGGGTCCAAAATGGCTCCGCGGCGGCGACCGCCGGGCCCCCGTTCGCCGGCGGGGAAACCCGGATGTTGGATACAAAGAGGCGGGCGAATGGGGCGGGAGGACGGGGGCGCGGGGGCGGGGCTTGCGGCCGCGTGGTTCACGCCCCCGTTCGGGGCGGGGCCTCCGAGAAACAACAACACGTCCGCCACGCCCCCTCACGGGGCCGGGCACGCCCCCCTCCGCGCTGGCCACGCCCTCCGGCCCCAGCCTGCCAGGGCGCGCATGCGCGGAGGCCAACTTGGAGAGCCGGCGAGGAAGGGGTGGAGGCGGCAGAGAGGGTGATGGATGAAATGGGATCAGTTGAGCCACTTGGGCTCTGGGGGGAGTCTCGAACCCCTGCACCTCTGGGATCAGAGCATCTGAGATTGCCTGCTGTAAGGTCTTCAGATCAAGCTGCTTTGAGTGGTGCATTCACACACACATACCCATGTCAGGACAAAGTGCCCTTGGGGTGAGAGAGGGGGGACAAATCCCACCCCACAGAGCATCTGCAGGTGGGAAGTGGGAGGGGGGAACTGGAAACTCCCCTCTCCACTGTGTGTGTGCCAGTCCTGGGGCTTGAACTCAGGCCCTGGGCCCTGTCCTTGCGTTTTGTTTTTGCTCAAGCCTGGTGCTCTACCACTTGAGCCACAACTGCACTTCTGGCTTTCATGATTGGCCGGAGATAGAGTCTCCAAGGGCTTTCCTACATGAGCCGGCATCAGGCTTCGATCCTCAGACTTCAGCCTCCTGAGTAGCTATGTGTACTGGTGTGAGCCACTATGGCTCAACTCTATTGTGTGTGTGTGTGTGTGTGTGTGTGTGTGTGTGTGTTAGTGCTGGGGCTTGAACCCACAGCCTGGGCACTGTCACTTAGCTTTGAGCCTCAAAGCTGGTGCTCTACTACTTGAGACACGGCTCTATGTGGCTTTTGGTTCATTGGAGGTAAGAGTCTCACAGACATTTTTCTGCTGTGACCTGTGGGTGTTCAGATCTCAGCCTCCTGGTTACCTAGGATTATAGGTGTGAGCCAACAACGTCTGGCTGTTCAGAAATTTGAGTCCTTTTATTTTTTGGTCCATCATGGGGCTTGAACTCAGGGCCAAGACGCTGACCATGAGCTTTTCTGCTCAAGGTGAGCTCTCTACCACTTGAGCCACAGCACCACTTCTGGTGTTTTTGGTGGTTCATTGGAGATAAGAGTATCACAGACTTTCCTGCCCAGGCTGGTTTTGAACCATGATCCTCAGATCTCAGCCTCCTGAGTAGCTAGGATGCCAGGTATGAGCCACTGGTGCCCAACTTTCTCCTGACTCCTGGATTTAGCTGTTGCATTCTGATTATTAATGTCATTTACTCCTTGCTTTTCCTTTCCCCTTTCCCCCACCAAGCTTCCAAGAACCCGTTCAGGCTGTCTTCCTCTCCGGCAAGAGTGGCGCCCTGCTACTTGAACCACAACCCCCACTTTCAGCTCTTTGGTGGTCCATTGCAGAGAGAAAAAGAGTTCTTTGCAGCCGTTCCTGTCCTGATTGGCTTAGAACTGTGCTCCTCCAGATCTCAACCTCCTGATTTGCTGACAGGCGTGAGCCACCGGGGCAAAGTCCCAATCTTGATCAAGACCCAGACCTTTGTCTGGTTAACCTTGCATGGCAGGGAAAACACAGCAAAGGAAAGGATTCCTCCCGAGACTGAGTCCACGTAGCAACGGGCTCAGGACAATTGGATGGGAGGGTGAGGTGGCTGGACCCTGCAGAATTTATCTCAGAGACTCTGCTTCTGGGTCAAGATTCTCTGTTCAAGTTTGGCATACCGAGGAAGGAGGGCCTGATATACCTGGAGAGACAGAAAGCACTCATTTAGAGGTGGGAAGAGGTGAGGGGAAATTCGTAAGAATTTCTGGCGACCTCTTGAAATGTGTGGTTGCTATTGGTGTTTTGTTTTTAACTGCCAGGCCTGGGGCTTGAACTCAGGGCCTGGGCACCGTCCCTGGGCTTTGGTGCTTAAGGCTGGTGCTCTACCACTTGAGCCATGACACCAGTTCTGGTTTTCTGGTGGTTCATTGGAGTACAAGAGTGGAGGCAAAGGAAGAAAACCGATGTTTCGTGGGTGAAAAGACTGGCTGGCATTCATAATCTGAATGCTAGAACAAAACCTACAGCTTTCCCACCTGTGCGGCTCCTGGGTCTGGGGTGGCAGCCAGCCTGGCCTTTGGAGCTGACTTCACAACTTCTGAAAAAGGCATGTGTACACCACCTGCAAGGCCTAGGAGAGAAAGGACATTTTGTGTCTGTGTGTGTACAGGACGTGGGGCTTGAACCCAGGGCCTGGGTGCTGTCCCTGGGCTCTTTTTTTGCTCAAGGCTGGCTCTCCACCACTTGGAGCTATATGTATGGTGCCACTTCTCCTGTTTTCTGGTGGTTTCTTGGAGATCAGAGTCTCACAGACTTTTCCTGCCCCAAGGTGGCCTCGAACCACGATCCTCAGATCTCAGCCTCCCGAAAAGCTAGGTGGCTGGCTATGACGATTTTTTTTTTTTAATGTATTGAAAGAAGAAATTAAATTTAAATAGTAGTTAAGGGGAGACAAGCAAAGAATAGAATCATTATGGAGCTGTGAGAAAGCACTTTGAGACAGACTGCCAATTAGGGGCTCCCTGGCAGGCAGGTGGCCTGGCAAAGTAGTCCAAGCAAAGTGAGGACACCCTTGAGGGGCCTGTGTTTCTTTCTGGGGAGCATGCCTTGATGGGGCTCCCCTGCATCAATTCTGGGGCTCTGTCTGCCGCCGCTCAGAGGAGGGAGCTGTCCCGGGTCCTGGCTAGCTAACCCCACTTCCTTTTGTCTCTCCTTGCTGGAAATAACAGCATAGCCTCTGGCTGTGTGCCAGTGCTGTGGCTCACATCTGTAGTCCCGGTCGCTGCTCAGGAGGCTGAGCTCAGAGGATCTGGGAGAAAGCACCAAGCCCCCACTGTGGACTTACCGTGAAAAGCCCGGTAGGCCGAGCCCACGCAGGCCGAGTTGGCAGTGTCTGTGATGTAAACTGAGGCACCAAACACATCGGCCAGCACCTGGGAAGGACACAGGGGTTTTTCTTTAATGCCAGGGCCGGGACTTGAACTCAGGGCCTGGGTGCTGTCCCTGAGCTGCTTTTGCTCAAGGCTGGCACTCTACCACTTGAGCCACGGTGCCACTTCCGGTTTTCTGGTGGTTCATTGGAAAGGACAGTCTCTAGGATTTTCCTGCCGGGCTGGCTTTGAACCGTGATCCTCTAGATCTCAGCCTCCTGAGTAGATGGGATGACAGGCGTGAGCCACCGGGTTACTTTGCATACCCACACCAGAACTCAGAAATCACCTGGATGTGAGACAGACTCTTTTCAGTGGGAGCCAGAAGAAAACAGAGTGGGCAGCCGGGCACCAGGGACCCTTGCCTGTCATCCCAGCTGCTCAGGAGGCTGAGATCTGGAGGATCACAGTTCGAGGCCAGCCCAGGGCAGGGAAGTCCATGAGACTCTGATCTCCAATGAACCACCAGAAAACCAGAAGTGGCAACCTATATATGGCTCAAAGTGGTAGAGCGCCATCCTTGAGCCAAAGAGCCCAGGGACAGCGCCCAGGCCCTGAGTTCAAGTCCCACAACTGACAAAAAAGAAAAAAGTTTCTGATTCTTAGACTTAACAGATTCACATACTGTCTCGTTGTGAGGCAACTTCCAGTTCCTACCTGTAAAATGTCTGTGTTGTGCGATGCCCCTCCTGTGGCCAAAATCTTTGTCTTAGGCACTACGAGAAAAACAGACAAGCAAAGAAGAAAAATACACAGAACAAAAACAAATGAAACTGGGCACCGGTGGCTAAGCCTCTCATCCCAGCCACTCAGGAGGCTGAGATCTGGAGGATCATAGTTCAAAGCCAGCCCGGGGCAGGAAAGTCCGTGAGACTCTGATCTCCAAGGAACCACCAGAAAACCAGAAGTGGCGCCATAGACGGCTCCAAGTGGTAGAACACCAGCCTTGAGCAAAAAGGAGTTCAGAGACAGCGCCCAGGCCCCGAGTTCAAGTCCCCTGTGCAACTCAGTTTCACACCCCTCCCCTGCCCTGGGCCAGGGCTCCGTCTCCCTCCAGTCACAATCTCAGCCCCAGGACTCCCCGCACCCCAAAACACATCCAGTACACTCACTGACTCGGTAGCCCAGACTCTCCGCATGAATCCGCTTGGCCATGAACTGTCCTTCGATGAGGGCCCGGATTTCCACATCCCCAGGGAACGCTGCCACCTAGTGCCCAGACACGGGGGTCCGTGAGGGGCATCTGAGTGTGTATTCCTGTGATATGTGTGTGTGTGCGTGCACGTGTGCGCAAGCGTGCGCTAGTACTGGGGCTTGAACTCAGGACCTGGGCGCTGTCCCTGAGCTTCTTTGGCTCAAGGCTGGTGCTCTACCACTTGAGCCGTCTATGGCGCCACTTCCGGTTTTCTGGTGGTTTATTGGAGATGAGAGTCTCATGACCTTTCCTGTCCTGGGCTGGTTTCAAATCATGATCCTCTGGATCTCAGCCTCCTGAGTAGCTGGGATGAGGTCAGGTGTGTGAGCTACTGGTGCCTGGCTCCTTATTCTTTTTACTAGGTAAATAAGAGCCACGTGTTTGTTCCAGGAATCCACACTGCTTGCATGCCCATGCTAATATGCTATCCCCAGGTTGGGCCGACACCCCCAGCACCCCAGACCAAGGACTGCACTGGCTCCTCTCTCCTCTGCCCTGTGCTCCAAGTTTCATTCACTGCTGGTCTCCACGCTGTGTCCATCTTCTAGATAAGCCGGGCATCTTGCAGACATCAACCGAACGCTCCTCACAGAAATCACGCTGCCCAGTCCAGCCCCAGACTCACCCACCCTTCCCTCCCACCCCACACGGTGCGTGTGTCCTGTGTGTGCCCACTCAGCCGGATTTCCGTCCATCTTCCAGATCGGGGCTCCACAGACCCCCCAAAAGAACCCACTCTCCTTGGATCTGCTAGGACCTGGCACCAGTGACCCATACACAAGCAGTGAATGAATGTGCATGAAGGAGCAAACGATGGGGTAGTGGATGGGTCAGAGAGTGAACAAATGTGCATTGAAGAATGAATGAATGAATGAGGGAACGGATGAACGAATGACCCACTGGAGAATACATCTTTCCTGACAGCCCGAGGGTTGGTGTGTGCAAACACAGTAGAGCTGTACCTGCTCCCCTCAAACACGACCCAGCCAGGCATCAATGGCTCACACCTGTCATCCCAGCTACTCGGGAGACTGAGATCTGAGGATCATGGTTCGAGGCCAGCCCAGGCAGCGAAAGTCTGTGAGACTCTTCTGTCCGATGAACCACTAGACAACCGGAAGTGGCACCATATATACGGCTCAAAGGGGTAGAGCGCCAGCCTTTAGCACAAACAAGCTCAGGGGCAATGCCCAGACCCTGAGTTCAAGTCCCACAACTAGCAAAAAAGAAAGAAGGAAGGAAGGAGGGAAGGAAGGAAGGAAGGAAGAAAGGAGAACACAATTTGAGCCTCAAGTCCAGCTCTAGTGGCTCACACCTGTCATCCTAGCTATTCAGGAGGCTGAGATCTAGAGGATAGAGTGTTCAAAGCCAGCCCAGGCAGGAAACTCCATGAGACTCCAATGAACTGCCAAAAAAAACCTAGAAGTTGGAGCTGTGGCTCAAGTAGTGGAGCACCAGCCTTGAGCAAACAAACCCTAAATGAACATATAGGCCCCAATACCATGACAACAATAACAACAACAAAGGTGATTGATTTGGTTTCACGACTGCTAAGATCAATGCTCAGCGCATGATTAATATAGCTCCATATCAAGACAGTTCCTACCTCTTGGTTTTCTGCATTAAATCTGTGACGCCCAGACATTTCAGGGGTGATTTCCATTACGTCAAAATAAAAACCTGAAACAAAAATCAAAAAGAGATTGGCTGTCAGGAGCCGGGCGCACCAATGGCTCACGTTTGTCATCCAGTGACTCAGGAGGTGGAGATCCGGAGGATCCCGGTTTAAAGCCAGCCCCTGGCAGGAAAGTATGTGAGACTCTCATCTCCCATGAACCACCAGAAAACCGGAAGTGGTGCCATATATGGCTTAAAGTGGTAGAGTGCTAGCCTTGAGCAAAAGAGCTCAGGGACAGCGCCCAGGCCCTGTGTTCAATCCCAGGACACACACACACACACACACACACACACTTAATAACCAAATAAAGAAGTAAAGCCCCTACCCAGGTTTCCTCCATTTCCCATCTCTGTGGACTGCAGGGCCTTGGAGAACTCACTCCAGGAGCCGGAAGCTGACTCATCTCGAATTTTCTCTCTCATCAGGGAGCCATTTTTAAAACTGTAAAAGGGAAGCGAATGCTGAAGACCAGAGGTACGGCGACAGCGGCGCTGAGGATTGAACCTATGACCACATGTAGGCTAGCCAAGTGCTCTGCCACTGAGCTACAACCCCAGCCTGGATCCGTGGGTTACCCAGGTCCCCAGGTTGTGGGTACAACAAGTCTTTCTCAGGTCCAGCCTAAAATGCAGTAATCAGCCGGGCATCAATGGCTCAAGCCTGTCATCCCAGCTACTCGGGAGGCTGAGATCTGGAGGATCACAGTTTGAGGCCAGGCCCAGGCAGGTAAATCTGTGAGACTCTCACAGACGAACCACCAGAAAACCGGAAGTGGCGCCATATATATATGGCTCCAAGTGGTTGTTAACCTTGCACAAAAAGCAGCTCAGGGACTGCGCCCAGGCCCTGAGTTCAAGCCCCCAGGACTGACAAAAATAAAAATACAAACAAAAATGGTCCCAGAGCAGCCTGCACCTGCATCCCACACTCAGGCAGGGAAATCAACGGGACCCCACACCCCAGCTTACCACAAAAGCGCCATGTAATGCCGAGGGTCAACTGGATTACAGAAAATGTGGCCTTCCAGGGCAGGTGTGGGTTCCTGGAGCCACAGGAAGAGTGTGTCGCTGGTCCCCAGGCTGACCTACAGAGAAGGCGGGGTGGGGTGAGGGACCAGGGGCTGGCTGAACACACACCGTGGGTCTTGACCCACCACGCCTGCTCCATCTGTCCACGTTCTGGGGACCATTTCCCCACGAGAGGATCCAGGAATCAACTCCCCGCTAGAAAGAACCACACCCACCAGGCGCAGGAGGCTCCCACCTATCATCCCAGCTACTCAGGAGGCTGAAATCTGGAGGATCACAATTCGAACCCAAGACAGGAAAGTCTGTGAGACTCTGACCTCCCATGAACCACCAGAAAACCGGAAGTGGTGCCATGTATATGGCTCAACGTGGTAGAGCGCCGGCCTTGAGCACAAATGTTCAGGGACAGCGCCCAGGCCCTGAGTTCAAGCCCTACAACAGATTTTTAAAAAAGCAAGCATGGAGATGGAGAAGTCAGCTTACCGCGATGTCGCCTTCCTCCAGCCTCATGCCCGCCAGTGAAGCTGAGAAAAGTTGGGAGTCTTTGGTTACCTGAAGCCTTGGGAACCAGTGTGTCCCCCCCCCTCCCATCCACCCCTCAGGGAGAAGGGCCAGCATGGGTTCAGGTGATCTAAGAGAATTTACACAAATCCAAGTACAGCCTGGGGGTTATGTATATTTGTCTGTTGACTTAACTTTGGTGCCAGTCCTGGAGCTTGAACTCGGGGCCTGGGCACTGTCCCTTTGAGCCATTTATATGGCGCCACTTCCAGTTTTCTGGTGGCTCAAGTGAGAATCTCACGGACTTTCCTGCCCAGGCTGGCTTGGAGTAGCGATCCTCCAGATCTCAGCCTCCTGAGTCACTAGGCTGACAGACGTGAGCCCCGTGGACTCACTGTTCAGCAAGTCCAGAGAATCAAGAAGACAAAAACAAGAGTGCTCATGGCACCTGGGCGCCGGTGGCTCAGGCCGATCATCATCCCAGTGACTCAGGAGGCTGAGATCTGAGGATCGTGGTTCAAAGCCAGCCCGGGCAGGAAAGTCCGTGACACTCTTGTCTCCAATAAACCACTCAAAAACGGAAGGGGCACCATAGATGACCCAAAGTGGCAGAGTGCCAGCCTTAGAAACCCAGGGACAGCGCCCAGGCCCTGAGGTGAAGCCCCAGGAGATTGGCAAAAGAAAAACAGAGAGAGACAGAGAGACAAAGAGACAGAAAGAGAGAGAGAGAGAGAGAGAGAGAGAGAGAGAGCAAGTAAAAGAAACAATGCAAGATGCTGGACTGGCCTCATTGGGAGGGGCTGAAGCCCCTCCCACCGACTCTGGTGCTCACCCTGGTGCGCCCCCCTTCCCCTATTCCCCCCCCCTTTTCCTGCCCATACTCACCGGGGTTGTCCCCAGTGAAGGCCACCACTGGGCATTCCGGGGAAAATCCATAGCGTTGGACATAGTAGGAAGAAATGTTTCCCTGCAGGTGGAGAGCAATTGCGTGGGTAACTCTAGCCTGCTACACGCACACATAACCTCAAGCTACTGGAATATTTCAGAAGACTGAAACTAAGGATTTCGGCGCACCTGTCCCTTGCAAGCCAGACTTGGGGGTTCCCTCCCCTCTGCCATTCCAGAAGAGCTCTACACAACCATAAGCATGAAGTCACCTTGGCTTGATCTTTTTAATCTTATTATTTCATCTCATTTTTTGCACCGGTACTGGGATTTGAACTCAGAGCCTGGGCTCTATCCCTGAGCTTCTTTTGCTCAAGGCTGGTGCTCTACCACTTTTGAGCCATACATGACGCCACTTCCCGTTTTCTTGTGGTTCATTGGAGAGAAGAGTCTCATGGACTTTACTGTCCGGGCTGGCTTTGAACTGTGATCCTCCAGATCTGAGCCTCCTGAGGAGCTGGGATGCCAGGCGCCCGGCTCCAGGATATCATCTTGAAATCCATTTGACTTTGAGATGCAGAACACCTAGAATGAAACAGGCTCCAACTTGAACCAACCTAGGAGAGCTTGAAATTCTGGATACGGCACTGAAGGGAATTTAGCAACATCAGACGCCGGTATCTCATACCTGTCATCCCCGCTACTCAGGAGGCTGAGATCTGAGGATTGCAGTTCAAAGCCAGCCCTGACAGGAAAGTCCAGGAAACTCTAATCTTTCCAATTAACCAACAAAAACTGGAAGTGGAGCTGTGAGCTCAAGTGATAGAGTGCTTACCTTGAGCTGAAGAGCTGAGGGACAGTGCCCAGGCCCAGAGTTCAAGCCCCATGACCAACAAAAACAAAAAGGTATGAGGCACTGATTTGAAACCCTAGTATAGGCAAAGAAAAGGAAAAGAGGAAAGGAAGGGAGGGAGGGAGGGAAGGAAGGAAGGAAGGAAGGAAGATAGGAAGGGAGGAGAGGGAGGGAGGGAAGAAAGGGAGGGAGGGAAGAAAGGGAAGGAGGGAAGGAAGGAAGGAAGGAAGGAAGGAAGGAAGGAAGGAAGGAAGGAAGGAAGGAAGGAAGGAAGGAAGGAAGGAAGGGAGGGAAGGAAGGAGACAGAGGGAGGGAGGGATCCTACCAGGACTGAGCAGGGCAGGGCAGGTGGACCCAGCTTTTCCTCTAAATTTGGGGCGCAGGCGAGAAGGCAGGCCTGGGACCAGACTTTGTCCTGGATCTGCAACAAATTCATTCCAGAACCTGAGGAAGGAAAAGAAATGGAAAATGAAAACCAGGCTGGGTAGGGTAGCTCAGCCTGTCATCCACTGTAGCCGTCCGGGAGGGAGAGACAGGAGGATCCTAGTTTTAGGCCCAACATGGATTTTAAAAAAAAAAGAAAAGTGAGTGAGACCCTATCTTAATGAACAAGAGTGTAGTGGGTCCCGCCGGTCACCCCAGACTTCCGGAAGCCTGAGGACAGGAGGGCTGACATCCAGGGTGTAGGTAACAGGAGGAGGATTTTCCTGGAGTGACACCTGACCGAGCAAGCGCAAGACCCCAGGTTCAAGCCCCAGTAACGCCAGACAAACAACAGCAACAAAAGTAAATGGCAAAAATAGAAATCAGACACTGGTGGCTCACCATCCTACACTTAGCTACCCAGGAGGCTGGGATCCGGAGGATGGCGGTTCAAAGCCCTACCGGGGCAGGAGAGCAGGGGAGACCCTTCTCGCCAGTGAACCCACAAAAAGCCCGGGAAGCGGCACAGCATCCGTCCTGAGCAGGAAAGGGAGCGCAGGAGCCATGTGAAGCCCCAGTCCCAGCACCCCTACCGCGAGGAAGGTAATTAGTATCAGCTGTGGGGCTTGAACTCAGGGCCTGGGCGCTGTCCCTCAGCTCCTCAGCTCCAGGCTAGTGCTCTACCACTTGAGCCACAGCGCCACTTCAGGTTTTCTGGTGGTTCATTGGAGATAGGAGTCTCACGGTCTCTCCTGCCCAGGCTGGCTTTGAACTGCGATCCTCCGATCTCAGCCTCCTGAGTAACTGAGGTGACAGGCGTGACCCGCCACGGCGGGCTCAGTATCATCTCTTTCCAACAAAGACTGAAATCCTCAAGACTGGCTGGAAACCAGAGTCCAGTTGAGGCACACTGGGTGGCCACGTGGCCAGCCTGACAACCTGCCTGCAGCCCAAGCCCCGCCCAGCCCCACTCAGCCCCGCCCCTTCCAAGCCCCGCCCAGTCCCACTCAGCTCCACCTGTCCCAAGCCCCACCCAGTCCCACCCCTTCCAAAGCACCACCCAGTCCCACTCAGCCCCGCCCCTCCCAAGCCCCACCCAGTCCCACTCAGCCCCGCCCCTTCCAAGCCCCGCCCAGTTCCACTCAGCCCCGCCCCTTCCAAAGCCCCACCCAGTCCCACTCAGCCCCGCCCCTACCAAGCCCAGCCCCACTCAGCCCCGCCCCTGCCAAGCCCCGCCCAGTCCCACTCAGCTCTGCCTCTGCCAAGCCCCGCCCAGTCCCACTCAGCTCCGCCCCTGCCAAGCCCCGCCCAGTCCCACTCAGCCCCGCCTCTGCCAAGCCCCGCCCAGTCGCAATGAAGTCTGCCCCTACCAAACCTCTCCCAGCTCCGCCCCTACCAAGCCCCGCCCAACCCCACCAAGCCCCGTCCCCACCAGCTCCACCCATCCCGAGTTCCACCCGTTCCCAAGCCCCACCCCTCTGTTCCATCCAGCCCAATCCCCGCTCAGCCCCTCAGCTCCCTCCCACCCAGCCTATTCCCCAAGCCCCGCCCCACTCAGCTCAGCTCATCCCAAGCCCCGCTCCGGAAGGCTCACCATCACTGTAGTCAATGGGGGAGTAGGAGCCCAGGAACAGGGAAGCAGCAAAGCTGCTGACCAGAGAAATCCTCTATGGAAAAGCCACAAGGAGAGAGGCCGTGACACTCTTCATCGGTCCATCCATCCACCCATCCATCCATCCATCCACCCATCCACTCATCTATCCATCCATCCATCCATCCATCCACCCATCTATCCATCTACCCACCCATCCATCCATCCATCATCCACCCATCTATCCATCCATCCACCCTTCCATCCACCCACCCATCCATCCACTCATCTATCTATCCATCCACCCATCCATCCATCCATCCATCCATCCATCCACCCATCTATCCATCCACCCACCCACCCATCCATCCATCCATCCATCCATCCACCTACCCACCCATCCATCCATCCATCCATCCATCCACCCACCCACCCATCCATCCACCCATCCATCCATCCATCCATCCACCCATCTATCCATCCATCCACCCACCCATCCATCCACTCATCTATCTATCCATCCACCCATCCATCATCCACCCATCCAGCCAGCCAGCCTTCCATCCACCCACCCATCCATCCATCCACCCATCTATCTATCCACCCATCTATCTATCCACCCATCCATCCATCTATCCACTCATCCACCCACCCATCCATCCATCTGTCCGTCCATCCATCCATCCCCCCAGCATAACCATGCACACACACACACACACACACTCATCCACCCACCCATCCATCCATCCAGCATAACCATGCACACACACACACACACACACACACTCATCCACCCACCCATCCATCCATCCAGCATAACCATGCACACACACACACACACACACACACACACACTCATCCACCCACCCATCCATCCATCTGTCCGTCCATCCATCCCCCCAGCATAACCAAGCACACACACACACACACACACACACACACACACACGTCACGAATCATGCTGGCACCAAGACTTGAACTCATGGCCTCCAGCCCGTCCTTGGCTTTTTTTTTTTTTTTTTTTTTGGCTCTAGGTTGGCAACTCTACCACTTGAACCACACCTCTATATCTGGCTTTTTTGGTAGCTCATTGGAGATAAAGAGGCTCATGGAAATTTTTTTTTCCATGCCCAGGCTGGCCTTGAACCTCGATCCTCAAGATCTCAGCCTCCTGAGTCGCTAGGAGGACAGGTGTCCAGGCACAGCAGCTCCTGCTGAATATAATGAGTAGTTGCCTGTGCCGTGAGAACTCTCACAAGGACTCTGGGTGAGTGTGATTCTACTATCTTTCTATGGGACTAGTAGGAGCGCCAGTGGCTCATGTCCATTATCCTGGCTACTCAGGAGGCCGAGATCTGGAGGATTAGAGTTTGAAGCCAGCCTGGGGGAGGAGGGAGCTGAGACTCATCTCCAAGAGCCAGAGGTGCAGGCAGCTGTGGTTCAAGCATTCCAGCTTTGAGGGAAAAAGCTAAAGGACAGCGTCCAGGTCCTGAGTTCAAGCCCCAGTACTGGCACCAAAAACAAAAAACCAAAATAACCAACTATGGACCCACCATCATTAATGGAAACATCATTATACACCAAATATTTATCTCTTTCCCTCCCTTCTTTCTTCCCTCCCTCCCTCCCTCCCTCCCTTCTTTCCCTACGGATGGAACCCGGGCAAACTCACCACGCCTGTATATATCAGTTTTGTGTGTGTATGCCAGAGGTGGGGCTTGAACTCAGGGCCTGGGCGCTATCCCTGAGCTTCTTTTGCTCAAGGCTGGCGCTCTACCACTTGAGCCACAGTGCCACTTCTGTTTTTTTCTGTGTATGTGGGACTGAGGAATGGAACCCAGGGCATCATGCACGCTAGGCGAGCACTCGACCACTGAGCCACCTTCCCAGCCCCATGTTTAATATTCATTCATTGAAGGCATGAACCCCCGGTATCCCGTGATGTCTTCATGACGTGCTCACGCTGGGAGTATTCTAAGCAATGGGAAGAGTGCACCCACCTCTGTTTGGGAGTAGGCCTCAGGGTTTTCCTGGTAAACCTTCGCAATTTGGTTCCCTGTAAAACGCTGGGAGAGAGAGCGTGCATTCTCAGGGAGGGGGACCCAGATTCAGAACGAACTGTGAGATCCACACAGTGAAGAGTTTAATGATATCTAGATCTAGATCTAGATCTAGATATCCACAGCCATTAGTTAATATCATGCCTGTCACCCTAGCTACTCAAGAGGAGGCTGAGCTCTGGAGGATCGCGGTTCGAGGCCAGCCCCGGGTAGGAAAGTCCATGAGACTCTTCTCTCCAATGAACCACCAGAAAACCGGAAGTGGCGCCATAGATGTGTGGCTCAAAGCGGTGGAGTGCCAGCCTGGAGCAGAAGCAGCTCAGGGACAGCACCCAGGGCCCGGAGTTCAAGCCCCAGGCCTGGCACAAAAGAAACAGACAACTAAAGAAGACACTTAGGGGATAAGGGATGGGTCGGCCCTGTTACCTCATAGGCCCGGGAGCCGGTGAGTTGGCTGAGCACCTGGGCCCCTCCCACAGCAGCCTCCAGTTGGTGGCATTGGGCAGTGCTGCTGGAGTCCATCCATACCGGGCAGTCAGGGATGGAGAAACAGATCTGCCAGGAAGGGACAGTAGCACAGTGTCAGATACTGGGCCACGCCACTGGCCCTGAGAGCATGAGGTGTCTCTTCCTACCACCTTCTATTGTGTGTGTGTGTTTGTGTGTGTGTGTGTGTGTGTGTGTGTGTGTGTGTGTGTGGTGCTCTTCCACTTGAGCCACAGCTCCACTTGGGGCTTTTCTGGGGATTCACTGGAGATAAAGAGTCTCCTGGACCTTGGTCCCAAGGCTGGCCTCAAACCCGGATCCTCAGCTCTCAGCCTCCTGAGTAGCTAGGATGACAGATGTGAGCCACCAGCGCCCAGCCTCCTCCCCTTCTGTTCTTTCTGTCCAAGATCCTCAGACTCGCCAATACTAGTCACCTGCCCTGATCATAGAAAATAATGTTGATCAAAATGAACTCCAGGAAACGGAAGGAACAGAAAAACAAAAACCGAAGTCACCTGTAGCTGTTGGTATAAGGAACGGTCTGGTGACAAATCCCTCAGTGCCAGGCTGGCCCCCGCCTTCCAGTACACGCTGCCATGTTGCTGTTGGAGACAGAGCCAGGCCTGTGGTGTGCGGTCCCTCGGGACACAGAAAGACCCTCAGGACCCCCAGACCACACACTGAACACCTGGGCTCCACCTCCACTACCTCTCTTAGGCCTCTGCAATTGTCAGCTTTATGAAACTCAGTGTTCCTTTCTTTTTTGGTGCCAGTCCTGGGGCTTGAACTGAGGGCCTGGGCACTGACCCTGAGCTCTTTCACTCAAGGCTAGTGCTGTACCACTTTGAGTCATATATATGGCGCCACTTCCAGTTTTCTGGTGGTCCCTTGGAGATCAGAGTCTTCCGGGCTTTCCTGCCCCAGGTTAGCTTGGAACTGAGATCCTCCAGATCTCATCTCCCAAGTAGCTGGTATGACAGGCGTGAGCCACCAGTGTTTGGCTTCCATGCTTATTTCTATCAAATGGGGAAGGGCTCTACCCTGTCACCCCAAAAACTTGTAATACGATTCCAAGAGAAAATCACTGGTCTGTTTCTTGGTGCCTTTTGTAAAGCTGTATTTAAACAAATTGCTTGTGAAATGCATCCATCCTCTTAATTCACTCATCCCTCCATCCACCCCTCCATCTACCTACCCACCCCTCCATCTATCTACCCACCCACCTATCCATCCACCCATCCACCCATGCACCCATCTACCCCATCCATCCATCCATCCACCCATCCATCCATCTACCCATCCATCCATCCATACATCCACCCATCCATCCATCTACCCCTTCCATCCATCCATCCACCCATGCACCCATCTACCCCATCCATCCATCCCTCCACCCATCCATCCATCTACCCATCCATCCATCCATCGACCCATCCATCCATCTACCCCATCCATCCATCCATCCACCCATCCATCCATTCATCCCACCCATCTATCCACCCACCCACCCTGCCATGTTGCTGTTGGAGACAGAGCCAGGCCTCTACCCATCCATCCATCCATACATCCACCCATCCATCCATCTACCCCTTCCATCCATCCATCCACCCATGCACCCATCTACCCCATCCATCCATCCCTCCACCCATCCATCCATCTACCCATCCATCCATCCATACATTCACCCATCCATCCATCTACCCCTTCCATCCATCCATCCACCCATGCACCCATCTACCCCATCCATCCATCCATCCACCCATGCACCCATCTACCCCATCCATCCATCCATCCACCCATCCATCCATCTACCCATCCATCCATCCATACATCCACCCATCCATCCATCTACCCCTTCCATCCATCCATCCACCCATGCACCCATCTACCCCATCCATCCATCCCTCCACCCATCCATCCATCTACCCCATCCATCCATCCCTCCACCCATCCATCCATCTACCCATTCATCCATCCATCGACCCATCCATCCATCTACCCCATCCATCCATCCATCCACCCATCCATCCATTCATCCCACCCATCTATCCACCCACCCACCCATCCATTCACCCTTTCATCCACCCATCCATCCATCCATTCATCTTATTTAAATGCATTCCCCCCCATTCATCTATTCATTTAAAGAACTGAAACACTCACTCATGTGTACTGAAACTCACTCACCCATTCATTGACCACATACTAAGACTCACACAAGTCACTCCAAGAACAGGTGCCTACATTCATCCCATTCATCCAAAGACCATGTGCTGAAACTTTCATCTCATTCATTCATTCAAAGGACACGTACTGAAACTCTCCTTCATTCACTCAAAGAAAATATGCTAAATCTCACCCCATTCATTCACTCATTCATTCACTCAAAGGACACATAGTAAGGGCTGGACCAGCACAGGACTGACGGCCAGGGAATGACGGACCCTCCTGTCCTGCACATTAGAGGATCTGTAGGTGGAGACCAATCAAACTCAGTGGGGCTAAGGGGAGAGACAGCAGAGACACTGCACCCAGACAGCCGATCCCTAAGCGCAAATCAGGGAGAGCAAGGGCTAACACACCTGCCCAGCTCCAGACAAAGCGAGAACTTGAGAGAAGTCAAACCCCGAGGCCTTCATCTTCTCCAAGACCATGTCCAGCGCCTGGGGAGATACACAGAGTCCGCCATGACTGAGCTGAGCCAACCCCCCCCCCCCCCACAGAGCTGCTAGCCTCCACTTGGAGGCTGGGGGCCACCATGCCGTAAAGGATTCTGGGTGTGGGCTGGGAAGGTGGCTCAGTGGTAAGTGCTCACCTTGCACGCATGAAGCCCTGGGTTTGATGTCTCAGTACCACATACACAGAACAAGCCAGAAGTGGTGGCGCTGTGGCTCAAGTGGTAGAGCGCTAGCCTTGAGCAAAAGAAGCTCAGAGACAGCGCCCAGGCCCTGAGTTCAAGCCCCATGACTTGCTCCGAGAGAGAGGGAGGGGAGGAAGATCACCATGCGTACCTTTACCCACATCAGCACAGGAGAGGTGACAGTCAGCCTGTCTTTGTGCAGATGCACACCACCTTGAGTCCTGCAAGAAGAGCAAGTATGGGCTGCAGGCCCAGGGCAGGTTGGGCTTGGAAAATCCCCCCACACGCAGCCTCCTTCCTCTAGGCCTGAGGTGAGGTAATGGATGAGACTGAACAGAGAGGAAAGGCATGAAAAAAAAATCGCACAGCTTCTTCATTCAAGGCTGGCACTCTACCACTTGAGCCACACCTCCCTCCACTTCTGGCTTTCTTCATTGGAGAGAAGAGTCTTTCGGATTTGGAAGCAGCAGTGGGGGGCCTCACACCTGTCATCCCAGTGAAGCAGGAGGCTGAGATCTGAGGATCAGGGTTCAAAGGCCATGAGACTCGAATCTCCAATGAACCACCGGAAAACCAGAAGTAGAGCTGTGGCTCAAGTCGAGCACTCGCCTTGAGCACAAAGAGGCTCAGGAACAGCACGCAGGCCCTGAGTTAAATCCTCAATATCAGCACAAAAACAAAAGAGGAAGTATTTCTCCTCTCCCCACCCACTGAAAAGCCAGGAAAAAAAATCCAGACTTTCTAGGTTAAGAACTGGATGAGAAATGTACTCATTATTTTACTTATGCAACGGTAACGCCTCTATATATAACCCTTACAATAAAATAAAAGAACTCATTCTCAAATTTCATCCCTGTTCCGAGGTCATAAAAGGGGAGAAACTTAAATCTTAGCTATCTGAGTGAGGTCTACAGGAAGTGGTTAAGATTAAATGAGGTGCTGGGTGTCAGAGGCTTAGTTAGGCGTGTTAATCCTAACTACTCAAAAGCGCGAGACTGAGACTCAGCGGCTTCTAGGATAGACCAGGGAAAAAGTGTGGGAAACAACAACCAAACAGAAAAAGCTGGCTGTGGCTGCAGATGCCTATAAACTCATCTCTGGAGGGAAGCATAAATATGGCAATCTCAGTCTAAGCTGAACTAGCCCAAAAGCCAGGCCCTATCTAAAAATGATCAGAATGCTGGGCTCTGGTGGCTCATGCCTAGCACCCCAGCTACTCAGGAGGCTGAGGTCTAGAGGTTTGAGGTTCAAAGCCAGCCCAGGACAGGAAAGTCTGTGAGACTTTTATCTCCAATAAACCATCAAAAAACTGGAAGTGGCGATTTGGCTCAAGTGGTAGAGCGCTTGCCTTGAGCAGAAGAGCTGAGGGACAGAGCCCAGGCCCTGAGTTCAAGCCCCATGACTGACAAAAAAAAAAAAAAAAAAGAAAGCAAGCAAGAAAGCAAGCGATCTACATCACTGCCTCGTGTTTCGTAATGCTCAGGACTCAAAGCAAGAACGCTGACAGCAGATGCCAATCTTTGACCTTCGCCCAGAACTGTGGGCTAAGACAAACTGTTTTCCTTTATAACTAACTAGGTTTGTGGCACTGAGCCGGTGGCTCACGCCTGTCATCCCAGCTACTCAAGAGGCTGAGATCTGAGGACCATAGTTCAAAGCCAGCCCAGGCAGGAAAGCCCATGAGACTCATATCTCCAATGAACCACCAGAAAGCCGGACGTGGTGTTTGTGGCTCAAAGTGGTAGAGCGCCAGCCTTGAGTGAAAGAGCTCAGGGACAGTGCCCAGGCTCTGAGTTCAAGCCCTATGACTGGGAAAGGGGGGGCAAGGGGGGCAGGACACAATATCAGGAGCATGGTGGTCCAAAGCCCACCTTCCTAGAAAAGTCTCTATCTCCAGTTAACTAGCAAAATGTTGGACTGGAGGTGTGGCTAAGGCGGTAGAGTGCAAGCCATGGGCACAAACAAATTGAGAGTTTGAAGACTCTGAGTTCAAGCCCCAGCACAGACATAGCCATACACACAAATAAGTTTTCAAGGACACCAGACACAAAAATACCCGAATTCTGGAAGGTCTCTGTCAAAATGCACGCTGTCTTCATAGATGATGTCCAGCTTCGTATCAACCGCAACAACCTTCACCTGGAAGATGTTTTTCAAAATGGGGTTCAGCCCATAGCTCCCCTTCAAATCTACGGGGCATCTTTGTTACCATGGTAACAGAGATCTCATCTCAAGATGCTGAAGCTAAGTGGGCACCGGTGGCCCACACCTGTCATCCCAGCTACTCAGGAGATTGAGATCTAGAGGATCCAGGATCAAAGCCAGCCCTGGGGCAAGAAAGTCCAGGAGACTCTGATCTCCCATGAACCATCAGAAAACTGGAAGTGGTGCCATACATGGCTCAAAGTGGTACAGTATCAGCCTTGAGCAGAAGAAGCTCTGGGACAGCACCCAGGCCCTGAGTTCAAGCCCCAGGACTGGCACACACACACACACACACACACACACACACACACCACACAAAGAGCCCAGTAGAAGAACAACTGTTGCTTTCGAAGGTAAATTTCCATCCTGCTCCATGGAAGCTGGAATCAGCCCATCCTGCTCCATGGAAGCTGGAATCAGCCCAGACTGAGCCTCACCTCAGCTCCAGTGCCAACCAGAATCCATGCCAACCAACTCAGTCACCAGAAAAGGCAAAGTCCATTCACACAACTGTGTCCATTTCAATTCCACTTACCTAAACATGAAAAGAAAGAAAAAGGATAATAATTCCCAGCCTCACTGGTGGCTCCAGCCACCCTCCTAGCCCCACTTGAGAGGCTGAGAGATGCCAGGATCCTGGTGCCAAGCCAGCCCAGCCCAGGCAGGAAAAGTCTACTGGCACGCTTCTCTCCAATGAACCACCCGAAATACCATAAAATAAAAGCTGGGAAGTTGGAGCTGTGGTTCAAGCGGTGGAGCACCGGGCTTGCATGACAAAAATAACATAACATAAAAGACCAATTCAGGGACAGGAGCCCAGGCCCTGAGTTCAAGCCCCAGGCCTGGCACCACGAAAGGAAAATAGAGTTTCCAGCAATGCCGAGATCCCAGGCTAGGGCCTCCTCTGCTCCCCCCAACTTTTGAACCCTTCCCCGTCCCCAGGATGGGGGGGGGAGGGGGCATGAGAGGAGGGGAAGTTTCTGGAAAAGTCCATGGGTGGGGTGGGGTCGAGCTAGGCCCCAGGGCCGGGCAGTCCCAGGTCATCGCCAGGCCAGGCACCCCGCGACAGCCTCCCCAGGAAGAGGGGGGCCCCCCCTCTCTCCAGGAGGTCGGCGCATGCGCACTGCACGGCCCCGGGCGCGGTGCAGCCAGCCGGGCGTCCCGGAGGAGGTGGCCAGGGTCCCCCGCCAACCCCCCTCCGGTTCCCCTCACGATCCCCCACCCCATCCTACCTGCTGTGTGCTGAAGTCCCAGCCCAGGCAGCAGTGGCGGCGATCGGGGTGCTCGGCCATCGTCCGGGAGAAACGCCCGCACCCGGGTCCGACCGTCCGGGAGTGTCGCCGCGCTCTGACACCTAGCGAGAAGCGGGGCCACGCCCCTGGCCACGCCCATCGCGCAGTCACGCCCAATCAGCCGGAGTCCACCACGGACTGGCCCGGCCCACCTCACCGCCACGCCCAATCAGCCCGAGTCCGCCGCGGGTCGACCACGCCCCCTTCCATTCTGTGGCTTTTGGCCACGCCTCTTAGCCACGCCCAGCCAGACTAAGACCCGGGCCGGCCGGAGCTCTGGCGCCACCTAGGGGCTCGGCGAGGGAGGACGGCGCCCGGGCCCGGGATGGCGCCTAACTCCTGCATGCACCCCTCTTTCTGCTGCTTGCTCTGAGCTCTCGGGACATCCAGGTCCTGGATCGTCACACGTTTCAGGTTTAATCCAACTTGTCCTCGCCTGGTCCTCCCTCCCTCTCCAGTGGCCCTCGTCCTGGGAAAACCTCTGGGGTCGTTCTTGGGTGTCCTGGGGTTTAGGGGTGCTGGGCTCTGGTCCAGATCTAGCCAGTGTGATGCTCTGCTTGTGCCCAGCCACTCAGGAGGCTGCGGTCTGCGGATCCATCAGGGTTCAAAGCCAGCCCGGGAAGGAAAGCTGCCAGAGATCGTTCTCTCCTGTCACCCAGCCAGAGAGCTGGGAGTAAAGGTGTGGTTGAAGTGGTAGAGCACCAGCCTTGAGTGCGAAAGCCAAGGGAGGAGAGAGACGCCCAAGGGTTCAAGTCCCAGTGCAGGCACGAGAGAGAGGCACAGACAGACAGCAAGAGAGATAGACAGAGAGGGCGAGAGAAATTTCCACGCCACCACGACTCAAAGTTAAGGAGCAAACCACACGTGGCAAATCTCCAGACCCCTATTAAATTGTAACTACAAGAATGAGAGAGTAAGCAGGCGCTGGTGGCTCACGCCTGTCATCCTAGCTGGTCAGGAGACTGAGATCTGAGGATCACAGATTGAAGCCCACAGAAAAATCCAAGGCTCTGATGGGTTTTTTTTTTGGGGGGGGGGGAGAGACTGGGGGTGCTGGCCATTTGAGCCACAGCTCCACTTCTGGCTTTTTTTCTTTTGGTACCTTTTTCTTTGGGGGGGGGGGAGGTTGGTAGTCCTGGGGCTTGTACTCAGGGCCTGGGCACTGTCCCTGAACTTCTTATGCTCAAAGCTGGTGCTCTACCACTTGAGCCACAACACCACTTCTAGCTTTCTCCGTATATTTGGTACTGAGGAATGGAACCCAGGGCTTCATGCATGCTAGGCAAGCACTCTATCACTGAGCCACATTTCCAGCTCTGGTTCTTTTGGTACTTTAGTGACAGTAAAAGTCTCACAGATTTTTCCCAGTGTAGGCTGGCTTTGAACCTCAATCCCCAGATCTCAGTCTCCTGAATAGCTAGGATTATAGCTACATGCCACCACCAGTACTTGGCAGAGGTTAAGGGGTGTGTGTGTGTGTGTGTATGTGTGTGTGTGTGTGTGTGTGTGTGTGTGTGTGTGTGTGATGAGGCTCAAACTCAGGGGCTGGGTGATGTCTTTGAGCTTTATTTTTTTCAAGGCTGGTGTTCTACCACTATGAGCCATAGCTCCACTTCCAGTTTTCTCGTGATTCATAGGAGAAAAGAGTCTCAAGAACTTTTCCTGCCTGGGCTGGCTTTGAACCAGCGATCCTCTATGTCTCAGTCTCCTGAGTAGCTAGGGTGATAGGCATGCGCCACCGGCACCCAGCCATCCTAGCTTTTTGCTGGTAAATTGGAGGGGAGTCTCATGGACTTTTCCTACTCAGGTTAAATTTGAACCCCAATCCTCAGATCTCAGCTTCCTCCTGAGTAACTGGGATTACAGGCCTGAGCCACCAAGCCCGGCTTCTAACACAGGACAGCCCAGGTCACGAAGTCATTTCAGGTGTGGGGGTGGGTGGTCCCTTGTGTGGCTGATCTCTGTAGGGAGCCTTCACCGGGAGGTAAGGGCTAACCGTGGCCTTTTGGGGTGCTTCTGTGACCCCACCTGACCCTCACTAGGGACAGTGAGCTGTAGGAGTCCGTGTTGAGTGGACAGCCTGCTGGGAGAGAAAGCCCACACCCCGAGGCTCTGAAAGCAAGGGTCTGAGAGATTCAGGGCCAGACAGTAATTCTGACCTGGCCCTGCCCAGTGGCTAAGGGAAGAAACATGGCCCCAGGGCTGGGGAACCGGTCTGCTGGTTAAGCCAGGAGACAAAAACGGTCTCTTCTGTTCAGGCCTAAGGCTTAGAAGTTCCCACTTTGGCCTGCTGGCTAGGCTCTTGGTAAGGAAAAGAGGAACTGTTTGTGGCTAAGAAAAGATTGCTAAAATACATGGTTTTTGTTTTCTGTAGATTTCAAGAAGGGTTGTTTCAGAAATAACTGAGAGGGCAGTGTATCTTAAGATTACTTGTGCTCTGTTAATCTTCTTTCAAAGTCATTTTATGCGACTCTATCTGACTCTCTCCAGACCAGCCAACACTACCGGTGCAGTGGGAACCTGAGCCAAGCCGAGCAGAGGGGCGGGGCCTGCTGCAGGAGGAGCAACCGATGCAAATAAGTTTGCCCTATTCACACCAGCCAATCACAAGCAGAGACTGAACCTGACCTCAGCCAATCAGAGCAGAGGCGTGGGGCCTGCTGTGGTTGGAATATCCTATGTAAATATTTTTCACCCTGCTCAAACCAGCCAATGGCAAGCAGACTGTGAACCTGAGCTCAACCAATTGGAGCAGAGGGGTGGGGCCTGCTGGGTTAGGTATAAATAGGGGAGCAGCTCTGTCATCTTCATGTAGAAGTACATTTTGTCTTGCTGAAAGGATTCTTTTTTGTGTTGGGACTCCAATGGTTCTGAGAGGTATTCATAACAGCCCATCAGGACAGAGATCCAGCCCAGGCCTTGAATCTGATGTGCCCAAGGTGGAACAAAAAACAGGCCAGGTGGGCATCCGTGGCTCATGCCCCTCATCCAAGCTACCCAGGAGGCTGAGATCTGAGGATTGAGGTTGGAAGCCAGCTGGCGTAGGACAAATTAAACACTGAGAAAGCCAGAAGTGATAGAGTGCTAGCCTTGAGCCAAAGAGTTCAGGGTCGGGACCCAGGCCCTGAGTTCAAGCCCTGGTAAGAGCAAAAGGAAAAAGACAAGCCACACCGCTGTAGAAAGAGGGACACAGATGGAAGAATAATTGTTCAAATTGAAGAGAGAGGAGCGCAGGACAAAACCTGGCCTTCGTGAAGCAAAACAAAAACACAGCTGTCAAGATGATATAGCACGTTTATTCCACCTATGGCAGCCTGCTGTCCCCCCAATTACACACCAGACCCAGGCACAGGGGCCCCACACCGACTTGTGCCCAGATAGACAGAGGGCTGGTGGGGACCACTCCATGCGTGACCCCTCATGGACTGCGCCATCTGCCTTCACATTTTCCAAACTAGATAAAGTGCTTCGATGTCCCCACACCCCATCTGGCGAGGCAGGGCTCGGGCTCGTGGATCATGGCTGCAGTCCCGTACTCCACGGAGGACAGGGAGTTCAGGAACACCAGCAGGGCCTCAGTTTCCAGGGTATTCAAAGACAGCAGCGGCTCCCATGCCGGTGCCAATGCACATGGACACCACGCCGTAGGCCCTGGGGAGGCCTGGGCATCAGCCGGCCGGACTTTCCCACCATCCACCACCCACCACCCCACCAACAGGCTGCAGAATCAGACCCCCTGTGCAGGGCACAGACAAGGCAACCATCCCTGCAGGCCAGGGCCGGCTGCGAGGCTAGGGCCTCCCCCTCCCTAGTTCAGAGAACCGCAGGCCTCGGCCCTTGAGACTCCACTTCCGGGCCTCCTCCCCGCCCTCACCTCTTTCCACGGCGCTTCAGCTCATTCAGCAGCGTGACCACCTGGCGCGTACCAGTGCAGCCCAGCGGGTGGCCCAGGGCCACAGCGCCCCCCAAGGGGTTCACCTTCTCAGGGGGGATGCCCAGCTTCTCCACGCAGTACAGGGCCTGCAAGCAAACACAGCAGATGGAGCCTCCAACGAGCCAGCCACCCCCACCCCTCCTCCGGGGCCGCCAGCGCCCAGGGCCACACACAAGGGACACAGGCTCACCTGGCTGGCAAAGGCCTCGTTGATCTCAAAGATGTCCACGTCATTCACCGTCAGCCCTACGCACAAGGGAGAGACCCCAAGACAAAGTGAAGCATGAGCTGGCACCGTGGCTCACGCCTGTAATCCCAGCTACTTAGGAGGCTGAGATCTGAGGATCGCAGTTCAAGACCCACCAGGACAGGAACCTCTGTGAGACCGTTATCTCCAATTAAGCACAAAAAGCAAGAAGTGGCGGCCACAGTGGCTCACATCTGTCATCCCAGCTACCCAGGAGGCAGAGATCAGCTGAGGTTTATGGTTTAGTGCCTGCGAGGGCAGGAAAATCTGTGAGATTCTGGTCTCCAAAAGAAATGGCAACAAACAAAAGTGAAGCCCTAGCTCAGGATGGTAGAGCACCAGCCTTGAACAACAACAACAACAACAACAAAAAAGCTCAGGGACCAGCCTCAGGTCCTGAGTTCAAGCCCCAGGAATGGCACACAGGAAAAGGGGAGGGGATCGGGGCCAGGAAGGGGTGCAGCGGTCTCACCTGCCTTCTGCAGAGCCACAGGGATGGCGTAGGCGGGCCCCACGCCCATGATGTCAGGGGGGACCCCGACTACCGCGAATGATCTCAGCACGCCGAGGATGGGGAGGCCCAGCTCCTCTGCTGTGGACCTCCGCGCCATCAGCACGGCCGCCGCCCCGTCGCTCACCTGGCTTGAGTTTCCTGGGGGGGGGCAGGGGTGGGGTGAGGAGGTGAGGAGGCAGGGGGTGGGGGTGGGGATGGGAAGGGGCCTGCCCCACTCACCAGCCGTGGTGGAGCCACCATCTTTGAAGGCAGGCTTCAGCTTGGCCAGACCCTCCAGTGTGGTACTGGGACGGATGCCCTCGTCCTGAGACACGGTGAGGGCTTGGGGGTTGCCTTTGGCATCCAGGACGGTGGTGGTCACGGGCACGATCTCGGCACGGAAGCAGCCCTGGCTCTGAGCTCTGGCTGCCCTTTCAGCAGCATGGACAGACAGACAGACAGGGTCAGGCCTCCCAGCCTCCCCCCTGCCCCGCCCCGCCAAACTTCCCTGGTACAGGGCCACCCGCACACAACGCCTTCCAAATAAATGCAGGAGCCCAGTTCTGGGCGGGGACCAAGGATCCCATAGGCCCTGTGACCTGGGGGGCACACCCCAGGCCTGCCTGAGCCCTAGAGGTCCTCATCTGAACCTCAAAGGAGAGGAGGATCAGGACTGGTGGCTCCCGCCTGTCATCCCAGCCACTCAGGAGGCTGAGATCTGAAGATCACAGTTCCAAGCCAACCCTGGGCACGAAAATCTGGGAGAGTCTTCCTCTCCAGTGAACTAGCCAAAAGCTGAAGTGGAAGTATGTCTCCAGTCGTAAAGCACCAGGCTTGGAATGGAAAAAACCAAACATGGGCAAAGGCACTGAGTTCAAATCCCAGTACTGATGGAACATGACTCAGGGCACACGGGGTTCTATCCCCGTCCCGACCCCAGCCCTCACTTCTGCTGGGAGGCCAGTGCGAAGGCGTCCTGCCGCTCCCTGGAGATGCCAAACCGCTCAGCCACGTTCTCCGAAGTGATTCTAGAAGCAAAGCAGCAAACCCGACGGGCGGTTGGGGCTGGGCCTGGACCTCCCAGGACCCAAGCCTGATCTGAGCCATGGGGGACTGCATGAGGACTCGGGCCCCAGGCTAACACTCTGGCCAGGAGGCTGCGATCCCCGCAGAAGACCACCTACAGGAGTGGTCGGCCCGGGAAGGGGACACATAGGCCGGGGTAGGAGGCTGGGTGTGGTCACTAAGTGCCAGGCGCGCCCAGGTCCCCTATGGATAAGGGATTCTGGAAGCTTCTAAAGGAAGGCCCGCCTGGCACTCACCCCATGGGGATCAGGCAGTCTCTGGCCTTCTTATTGTCCACCAGGCGGGAACTGATGTTGCCAGGATTCCCTCTCTCGGCCATGGACATGGACTCCACCCTGAGAAGCCAAAGGGAGAAACTGAGTCCCCCAGGGTCCTCCCGCACACCAGGCACCGCTGGATCAGGGGTGGCCAACGGCCAGGGAGCCCCCAGGATGAAGGGTGGGAAGGGCTGCAAGGCAGGCCGGGCCCAAGGCCAGCATGGCAGGCCTGGGGGACAGCTCTGCCCAAACCCCGCCTCTCCCCGCACCCAGGTCTAATCAGAACCACGCCTCTTCCTGAGTCCAGGACCAATCAGGACACAGATCTCTCCCTGCATCCATAAGCAATCAGGACACACGCCTCTCCTGCATCCATGACCAATCAGAACACTGTGTGAACTGCTGAACAGCCAATCGGCAGCTTCCGAGGAAGCCCTGGTAGGCCCTGCTCTAGGACGCCCAATCAGAGGGAGAAGAGACAGATCATCTGTGTGGAGGCAGTAAGCCCGGATCTCAGACAGGGATGAGGAGGTGGACTGGCTGACCGGAAGTGGCGGTGGCCAGTGCACAGGGGCGGAGCCCCAGGCCTCAAGCACATCACTGAGTATTGGGGTCATGGTGGCTGAGGCCTGCGGTTCAAGGCCCACCCAGGCGGGAAAGTCTATGAGACTCTGATTTCCAAGGAAGCAGCAAAAAGCCAGAATCAGCAGCATGGCTCAGGTGGTAGAGCATTACTAGCCTGGAGTGAAAAAGCGGCACCCAGGCTCTGTGGTCCAGCCCCAGGATGGGCAAGAATGACCTCACACACAAGCGTAGCTGAATGGGTTGATGCCCCAGCACTGGGTGGAACTGTGTCACCAAAACCAGGCCCCAAGGGTAAGCTCTGGCAGTCACCCATGAAACCCATCCCCAGCAGGAATCCTTAGCACAAATGCGGGTCCTGAGGGACGGAGGGGTGTCAGGGTTCTGACTGTCACCCAGCCCGAACCCCACTGAGGGACTCTGGCCTCAGGACTCATTTCCAAATAGACGCTCTGGGCAAACAGACATGTCAAAGTCTTAGGCGCCAGCCAGCGGGGATTTCAGTATTACTTAGGCCCAGGGATATTTTATTCTTATTTCTTTTTCTTAAATGTAGGCTTAAGCTCAGGGCCTGGAATCTGTCTCTTTGCTTTCTTGTAAGGCAGGGGCTCAAACCACTTGTGCCACAGCTCCATTTATGGGGTAATTCATTGGAGATCGGTCTCCCAGACATTCCTACCTGTGCTAGCTTCAAACCATGATCCTCAGATCTCAGCCTCTGACTATCTATGAAGACGATGTGAGCCATCAGCACACAGACAGCTTTGTAACCGTGTAATCTTAGTGCCATGCTTCGAAGTCAAAGCCCTGGAGAACTCACAGAAGGTTCTAGCTCTTCTCAGAGCACCTACAATGCTTTCCCTGGGAAGAAGGGAACCCAAGGGACAAGGCTCAGACAACCAGATCCCAGTTTGTGAACTTTGGCTGTCTCCCTACTGAAACATGGGTTAGCAGAGCCCAGTTCTAGTCAGCCAAGGTCGGCCAGAGGCCAGAGATGCTTCCTGAGAAAAACTCCACTGGCCATCACCCACTGGTGGCTCACGCCCGTCAGTCCAGCTACTCAGGAGGCCAAGATCTGGAGGATCACAGTTCCACACCAACCCGGGAAGGAACGTCCGAGACTCTGATATCCAGTGAACCACCAGAAAAACCACAAGTGGAGCCATGGTTCCAAGTGGTAGAGCACTAGCCTTGAGCAAAAGAATTCAGGGACAGTGCCCAGACCCCGAGTTCAAGCCCCACAACCCAAAGAAATGAAATAAAATAAAAATCACTGAAAACAAAAAATTGCCGACATCTCCAGGAAATGAAAGCTTCGAGGCCACCAGAGCAGATTGGATTTGTGGGGAACCTGCTCCCAGCATTGCCAGAGGGAAGGCTGGTGGCACCCCCAAATCACCATCATTTAGAATCAAGGAAGAGGAAAATTAGTTGGACGATCGCAGCAGTTATCAGCTCCCCGACTGGAAGGAATTCTTACCCACAGGCCATGCCAATGTCATAAGACCCATTTCTGATGCCACCTGCAACAAAAGTGTTCCGTGACCAGGGGGCTGCGGTGGAGCTGTGTGCAAGCTGCGGGGCCCCACCCCACCTGTCCTCCAGGTGGGACCCAGCGAAGCCAGACCCAGGAACTGCCCGGGAGGTCTTCACAAAGACCCGCCTCCTGCGGGGCGCCGCTGGCTCACACCTGTCCTAGCTGCTCAGGAGGCTGAGATCTAGAGGATCAGGGTTCAAAGCCAGCCGGGGCAGGAAAGTCTGTGCAACTCTTATGTCTAATGAAACACCAAAAAGCTGGAAATGGCGCTGTGGCTCACATGGTAGAGCATACGATTGAGTAAAAGAGCTCAGGGTCAGCGCCCGGGCCCTGAGTTCAAGCCCCACAACTGACACAAAATAAATAAATAAATGGAATAAAAAATGCTTCCTTGGGGATGGGAAGGTGGCTCAGTAGTAGAGTGCTTGCCTAGTATGCATGAAGCCCTGGGTTCGATTCCCCAGTGCCACATACACAGAAAAAGCCGGAAGTGGTGCTGTGGCTCAAGGGGTAGAGTGCTAGACTTGAACAAGAGAAGCTCAGGGATAGCGCCCAGGCCCTGAGTTCAAGCCCCAGGACTGGCAAAAAAGAAAAAAAAACAAAACTGCTTCCTGCTGTCCCAGCAGACAGCCAGGTGCTGCTGCAGCCATGCGGTGTCAGGACCATGCCCAGTCCGGGTCTTGGGCAGTGCCCTTACCCCCTTACCTGCAATGTTAGCCAGCGCCTGCAGGCCGGAAGAGCACTGTCGGTTGACGGTGGACAGAGGTACGGTCTCCGGGATGCCGCTGAGACAGAGGAGAGATGGCCCTGTCATTCTCTGCCCTTCCTTTCCTCCCAGTCCCCATCTGGACAAAGAGCTGTGCTAAGCCTTTTCTCCTTAGACCCTCTGGGGTCGGGGGCTCCCAAAGAAGGGGCATTGCATGGTGCCATCCCAACACAATACAACAGTCCCAGAGTTGGAAGCTCATGCCTGTCACCCTTGCTACCCAGGAGGCAGAGATCTGGATGATGGAGGTTCAAAGCCAGCCCTGGCAGAAACATCTGTGAAATTCTTTATTGTTGTTGGTGGTGGTCATGGGGCTTAAACTCTGGGCCTGGGCGCTGTCCCTCAGCTCTTCTGCTCAAGGTGAGTGCTCTACCACTTGAGCCTCAAAACCACTTCTGGTTTTCTGGTAGTTTACTGGAGGTTAAGAGTCTAAGTGCCATTCCTGCCCCGGGCTGGCTTTTAACTGTGATCCTCAGATCTCAGCCTCCAGGGAAGCTGGGATTTCAGGCCTGAGCCACCAGTGTCCGAATGTCCTTGAGATTCTCAGTCCGGGAGATTCAGAGTTTAAGCTCTGGAATCAGCAAAAAAGAAAAAGAAAAAAAGGGAGGAAAGAATATTCCAATCATTCATTCCCATCTTGGCTCAGCAAGCACTGAAAGCCAAGGTTTCCGGAGCAGTAGCGGACTCCCATTCCCCCCACCCCCACCCCTTTGCCCTGGGCTCTGGCCCAACCCCAAACTTCTGCTGATGGTGCAGGTATTGGCTTAGCAGCTTGGTCAGCCTGCCAGCAAAGTCAGCCGAGTGATCAGCATGTTTTCTGGTTATTTATCTGACATGGGAGGACAGAGGCCACTCAGGCCTAGTGTAAACAGCCACAATCGAGTTGTGTACAATCACGTGACTGCCGACCTTTCCCCCAGTCTCTCAGCCCTGTGTACCTTGGCTCAGGACCTGGTCACTCCCCTGCTCCTCCTTGTAGGGGAAAGGTTGGGTCCACAGAACACCATCCCAGGGATTTTTGGATTGCATTGATATGATCCTTCCATGATCCCATTCTGATTTTTTTTATTGGCCAATCATGGGGCTTGAATTCTGGACCTGGGCCCTGTCCCTGAGCTCCTTTTTGCGAGCATTCTACAGACTTGAGCCACAGCGCCTCTTCTTGATTTCTGGAGGTGCATTGGAGATGACGCTCTCACGGACTTTCCTGACCCGCCTATGAACTGCGATCCTCTAGATCCCAGCCTCCTGAGTAGCTAGGATGGCAGGCGTGATGCCACCAGCACCTGGCTGGCCTATTGAGTTGTGGAGGGCTGGAATCCACTCAAAAACCACAGTGGCCAATTCAGAGGTAAAAGCAGGCAAGATCACCTCAGAAACTGTGCAATCCTGGCCATCACTGCCCCGGCTCCAGGCTGAAGCACGTTGCCTGTGAACAAGGAAAGCCTTCTTCAGTGCTAAGGAAGCGCTCTGAGCACTGAAGGTACAGCTGTGAGCAGCAGACAGGTATTCCAGATCATTCTCCAACAGCCTGTCTGGGTCTCACACACAAGCTCCTGGAGTCAGGAGAGTTTCAGTCAGATACCTCTGCACCATGCTGTCCCCCAAAACTGCACGGATGGGGCAGGAGGCCTGTCCTTCAGATAACCTGAGAACCCAACACAGAACGTGACAGCCAACAGACCTGAGCCCAGGGTGAGGGGAATGAGGTTGGTGTGTGCACACGCACATGAGTGCCGATCCTGGGGCTTGAACTCAGGGCCTAAGCGCTGCCCCTGAGCTTTGTGCTCAAGGCTGGTGCTCTGTCACTTGGAGCCATGTCTGGTGCCACTTCTGGCATTCTGATGGCTCCACTCCCAGCGTTTTGGAGTTCAATGAGAGATAGGAGTCTCATGGACTTTCTTCCTGTCCAGGCTGGCTTGGAACTGGGGTCCTCAGGTCTCAGCCTCCTGAATCACGAGGCTGGCAGGCAGGAGCCACCCATGACCGGCTCATTATATGTCAAGGGAAGTGGCGCAGGATGGGACCCGGCCGTAGACTGAAGGTAAAGGCTGAGGTCAAGTCCCAGCTGTGGGGCAAATTCTCTGGGCCTCAGTTTCTCCCCATGTCAGCGAGAAGGCTGGAGTAGACAGACTTTTGTCTTGTCTGCCTTGCATCCTGGTCTAGACAGGGTGTTCCTGTGAGCAAGCCTGTCATCCCAGTGCTCGGGAGGCTGAGATCTGAGGACGGAGGCCCCCAGCCGTCCCGGGGGAGGAAAAGTCCTCAAGAACACTTACCCCATCATCGGCAAAAGACCAGGACGTGGAGCTGTGGCTCAGGGGGTAAAGCACCACGGGCCTTGGACGATGATAAAGCTGGGACAGGAGCCGGGGCCGAGTCCAAGCCCCAGTACCAGCGCATGCGCGTGTGCACACACACGCACACACACACACACACACATGCACACACGTTGCACGCGCTCCCACCCCCGTGCACGCACAGCCCTCCTCCTCCGGCCCTTGGACTCGGCCTGTCACGGCCAGGCGGCCCTGCTGCCCCGGGAGGAGGGTCAGGGTGGGGTCATCGGCCGCCTTTCCCCTGGGCAGATCTCGGGGTTCGGGGTGTCGGGGACCCGGGGCCTCACCCACGGAGATGTCCCCCAGCTGCTCCGGCCTCAGGTTCACGTCCTGCAGCACGGCGGTCATCACGGCCGACAGGAGCTCGTCGGGGGTGGTGTCCTGCCGGGAGGGGCCCAGGACGGGTGAACCCCACCTTCTCATCCGCACCCCCAAGTTAAGAAAACTCCCCAAGCCCGTCCCGGGGACCCATCTGCCTCGGCCCTCCTTGGGGAAGGGTTCGGGGACTCCGTCTGCCCGGGGTCCCCTCCCTCCGCCCGATCCCGGGGTCCCCCCTCCGCCCGATCCCGGGGTCCCCCCTCCGCCCGATCCCGGGGTCCCCCCTCCGCCCGGTCCCGGGGTCCCCCCTCCGCCTGATCCCGGGGTCCCCCCTCTGCCCGGTCCTGCCCCGCGGTCCCCCATCTCCGCCAGGCCCGGGGTCCCCCCCTCCGCCCAGCTCGGCCCGGGGTCCCCCCTCCGCCCGGTCCCGGGGCCCCCCCCTCCGCCCGATCCCGGGGTCCCCCCTCCACCCGATCCGGGGTCCCCCCTCCGCCCGGTCCCGGGGTTCCCCCCCTCCGCCCGGTCCCTGGGTCCCCCCTCCGCCCGGCCCTGCCCCGCGGTCCCCCCTCTCCGCCCGGTCCCGGGGTCCCCCCTCCGCCCGGCCCTGCCCCGCGGTCCCCCCTCTCCGCCCGGTCCCGGGGTCCCCCCTCCGCCCGGCCCTGCCCCGCGGTCCCCCCCTCTCCGCCCGGTCCCGGGGTCCCCCCTCCGCCCGATCCCGGGGTCCCCCCCTGCCCGGCCCTGCCCCGCGGTCCCCCCTCTCCGCACGGCCCGGGGTCCCCGCACCTTGAAGCCCCCGCGGCCCGCCTTGCCGATGGCCGTGCGCCGGCCGTGCACCACCACCACGTCGCCGGCCGCGGCCTGAGCGGAGGCCCCGCGGCACGGCGCGGCCCTCGGCCCGGGGTCCGAGTCGGGCCGGCGGGACAGATGTCCCAGCAGCACCTGGAGCCTCCAAACGGCAGCCTTGGACTCCATGGACAACGCCCCCGGCTTCTCCTGCGCCCCGATTCTTGCGATCGGGAATAAAAAAAAACCTTCGCCCGCGCCTGCGCACAACCGCCGTCCGGTTACCCCGCTTCCCCCCGCTCGAGGTGTGCCAGCCAAACCGGAGTTTGCGAAAGCGTCCCGAAGGTGCCCACCCACCCCTCGACTCTCGCCAATCAGAAAGAGACACTGGCTGCCTTAGACCACGCCCGCTCTCCCGCTTCAGCCTATCAGAAGTTGGCGGGGAGAGGCTGCCTGAAGCCACGCCCCGCTCATCGAAGCCAGCCAATCAGAAGGAGCCGCTAGCTGCTGACACCACGCCCTCCCGTTCATTGACTCGGAAGTGGGTACTGGCTGCCTGAGACCACGCCCCGCTCATCGCAGCCAGCCAATCAGGAGGAGGATCTGCCTGAGGCCACGCCTCTCGGTCGCCCGTCTGAGGCTCCAAAGTCCGGCTGGACGGCCCGCCTGGCCTCCTGGGGGCTGATGGAAGGGTGGAGGTCGCCGGATCCCCGCCAGGGCTGCCCACTGGACACCCGACTTTCGCAATGTGTCGCCCTCCACAAGGGCGCAGCCTCAGCGTCGCGTCCACGACTGCTCTGACAAGCGGACCCCCTCCCTCCCCACATACACACTTAGTTCCCTCTGCTCTGGCCCCAGCCTCGGGCTCTCAAACCCCTGGACCTCAGTCTGTGGACAGGGTCAGTCTGTCCAGGGCAAAGCCATATGCGATTCCCCGGCGGCAGCACGGACAGTGGATCGTCACAAACATGTCGGTGGCTCAGGCCTGTCAGCCCAGCTGCTCAGGAGGCTGAGGGCTGAGGATCGCGGTTCGAAGCCAGCCCTGGGCAGGAAAGGCTGTGAGACTCTGATCTCCAATGCATGACTCAGCAAAAGCTGACGTCGGGCTGTGGCTCAAGGGGTAGAGCGCCAGCCTTAAGCACAGAGAGGCTCAGGGACAGAGCCCCAGTCCTGAGTTCAAGCTCCAGGACCAACACACACAGGCACAAGCGCACACACACACACACACACACACACAAGGAGAGTCCAGGCCCCAAGTTCAAGCTCCAGAACCAACACCAACACACAGACACACAGACACACACACATACATGCTAAAGGACAAAGTCCAGGTCCCAAGTTCAAGCCCCAGGACCAACACACACACACACACACACACACACACACACACACACACACACACTAAAGGAGAGTCCAGGCCCCAAGTTCAAGCTCCAGAACCAACACCAACACACAGACACACAGACACATAGACACACTAAAGGACAGAGTCCAGGCCCCAAGTTCAAGCCCCAGGACCAACACACACACACAAGCTAAAGGAGAGTCCAGGCCCCAAGTTCAAGCTCCAGAACCAACACCAACACACAGACACACAGACACACACAGACATACACACACACACACACTAAAGGACAGAGTCCAGGCCTCAAGTTCAAGCCCCAGGACCAACACACACTCACACACACACACACACACACACACACACACACACACACACACTAAAGGAGAGTCCAGGCCCCAAGTTCAAGCTCCAGAACCAACACCAACACACAGACACACAGACACACACAGACATACACACACACACACTAAAGGACAGAGTCCAGGCCTCAAGTTCAAGCCCCAGGACCAACACACACTCACACATACACACACACACACACACACGCTAAAGGAGAGTCCAGGCCCCAAGTTCAAGCTCCAGAATCAACACCAACACACAGACACACACACACACGCTAAAGGACAAAGTCCAGGTCCCAAGTTCAAGCCCCAGGACCAACACACACACACACACACACACACACACACACACACACACCTTCAACCCCATTAACTCCTAAAAGCTCAGGCTGGTTGCTGTAAGCCCCTTTCTCCGTTTCCTTTTTTTGGGGGGGGTCAATCATGGGGCTGTCGTCGGCGCTGTCTCTGAGCTCTTTTGCTCGAGGCTGGCGCTCGACCACTTGAGCCACATCTCCACTTGCAGTTTTCCGGTGGTCTCACCGTCTTTCCTGCCCGGGCTGCTTTCGATCCTCCGGATCTCAGCCTCAGGCGGGAGCCGCAGCGCCAGCACTGGGCTCTCTTTTTGAAGGCATCGAAAGGCTTTCCCGTGTTTGCACACCGCCCCCCCACCCACCCCCCCCAGCTCAGGGCGAGGCCCGCCGGGCCGGGCCGCAGGGGCGGCGCCTCCTCCTTCCCCTCCCGCGGAAACCGAAAGCGGGCGTGGCCGGCGGTGAGCTCCCGGCGAGGAAGCAGGAAGTCCGCGGAGACGCGCAGCCGGCTCCGCGGCGAGGCGCCATGGCCGCGGGAGGCCCGGGCGCGGAGTTTGCATCTCGGGGTCTGTCGGGTTCGGCGCCGGCACCGTCCCCCGGCCCGGCCCCGTCCTCGACCCCGGCCTCCGCGCTGTCCCCCGCCGCTGCCGCGCTGCCCCTGGCCGCCCTGAACGTGCGCGTGCGCCGCCGCCTGGCGCTGCACCTGAACCCGCGCACGGCCGTGGCCGCCGACTGGACGGTGCTGGCCGAGGAGATGGGCTTCGAGTACCTGGAGATCCGGCAGCTGGAGGCCCGGCCTGACCCCACTGCCGCGCTGCTGGACGCCTGGCAGGCCCGGCCGGGAGCCTCGGTGGGCCGCCTGCTGTGGCTGCTGGAGCAGCTGGGCCGCAAGGACGTGCTGCAGGAGCTGCGCGCGGACATCGGTGAGAACAGGGGGATAACCCGGGGGGGGGGCGGCATGGGGGGGCGGCATGGGGGGGGCGGCATGGGGGGGGCGGCATGGGGGGGGCGGCATGGGGGGGCGGCATGGGGGGGGTGCTGGGGAGGAGATGGGAGCTCAGGGACGGAGAATGTGAGGGGTGCTGGGTTCGGGCACAGGGGGGCATGGCGAGGGTGGGATGGGGCACATATGCCCCATGCCTCTCTTGTTTCTCATTTAAGGGGTCTAGGGTGGGGATGGAAGGGGAAGGGAGTTCAGAGGTGCCCCGAGATGCTCATGGAAGGGGAGGAGTGGGGAGGGGAAAGGGGAGGGGAAAGGGGAGGGGAAAGGGGAGGGGAAAGGGGAGGGGAAAGGGGTGGGGAGGATATCAGAGATGCCCCCCATTTTTTCCTGTAAAGGGGGTACCAAAGCTGGAAAAGGCCCCGATTGGAGCTAGTAGAGGGTCGGGTTTTCCTGTCCAGGCCAAGGGAAAGAAGAAAGGGTCTGAAAGAAGAGACCTTGAAAAAGCACAGAGGGGATGGGGCGCGACTTGGGGAGCAGAGGAACCCCAAGCCTCAGAGGGGAGGGACTAAGGGGGGGAAATGGGGAGCAGACCATACCCCAAACCTCAGGTGCCTTGAAAGGTTCTAACTTGGTTTGTTGTGGGTCTTGGCCTGGACGCTGTTGGTGGGCTCTTTCACCCAAGGTTGGTGCTCTGCCACTGGAGCCACAGTGTCACTTCTGGTTCTCTGTGGTTCGCTGGAGCGGAAAGTCTCACGCCTTTCCCACCCTGGTTTGAGGCCAAGCCCAGACAGCCAAGTCCACGAAGTTCAGGGAAAGACCAAAAGCCAGAAGTGGTGCTGTGGCTCCAGTGGTAGAGCGCTCGCCAGCCTTGAGTGGAAGAGCTCAGGGACAGCGCCCAGGTCCCGAGTTCGAGTCCCAGGCCTGGCACACGCACTCATCCCCCCTAACACACACACACACAGAGTAAGGGGGTGGCCTGTGGAGAAGGAGCGATGGTCCTGCCCCCCAGCCATGCCCGTCTCCCGCAGAGGAGAACTGCCTGAAGTACATTCGGAAGCAGCAGGAGCTGGAGGCCGAGAAACCCTTGCAGGTGGCCCGAGTGGACAGCAGCGTCCCCAGGACCGAGGAGCTGACCGGCATCACCACACTGGATGACCCGCTGGGTAGGCGCTCGGTGCTTTCCTCGTGGGGGCTCTGAGGAAGAAGGTGGGCGGGCCAACTTTGTCATTTGGAGCCTCAGTTTCCCCGACCTAACAGATGGTGGTGAAGCCAGTGATCAGTGGGTAGAAGTGTGGTTCAAACGGTAGAGCGCCTACCTTGACAAAAAATAAGCTGGCTGGAAAGGTGGCTCAGTGGGGTAGAGTGCTGACTCAGCACGCACACACACAAAGCCCTGGGTTCAATTCCTCAGCACCACATACACAGGAAAAGCCAGAAGTGATGCCGTGGCTGAAGTGCTGTAGAGTGCTAGCCTTGAGTTCAAGCCCAGGACTGGCATTGAAAGGAAGTGAGGGAGGGAATGGAAAGGCAGTGAAAATAGTTCCATCTCTGATTTGCCTTGTGACTTTCAAGGCATGGTCTGTGTCACGATTAACCCAGGACTTCTACCCACCTGGAGCACATTGGGATGAACACCAGGAAATTTCTAGCAAATATCACCATGGAGTCTCTTTCCTCCCCCCATCCCCATTAGTCCCGGGGCTTGAACTCATGGCTTGGGGCCCTGTCTCTGTGAACTCCTTGTGATCAGGGCTGGCACTCTACTACTTGAGCCACTTTGTTTTCTGGTCTCATGGACTTTCCTGGCTTTTGAACCACAATTCTCAGATCTCAGCCTCCTGAGTCGTAGCCAGGATGACTGGCTCAAGCCGTGGGTGCCTGGCCCTCTGACCGTTCCCCCGATGCTGTTCGTCCCCCCTCCCCCCCCCAGGACAAGCACCGGAGCTCTTCGATGCCTTCATCTGCTACTGCCCCAGCGACCTGCAGTTTGTGCAGGAGATGATCCGGCAGCTGGAGCAGACGGAGCACCGGCTGAAGCTGTGCGTGTCCGACCGCGATGTCCTCCCTGGTACCTGTGTCTGGTCCATTGCCAGCGAGCTCATCGAGAAGAGGTTACCTAGGGGAGCCTGGGACGGGGGCACAAAGCTCCCCGGTGTTGGGCCCCTGATGGAGTCTGTGCCTACACTAAACGAAGTCACCGCAATGCCCATTCTCTCCCAGATGCCGCCGGATGGTGGTGGTGGTCTCCGATGATTACCTGCAGAGCAAAGAGTGTGACTTCCAGACCAAATTCGCGCTCAGCCTCTCTCCAGGTAAACTGAGTCCTGCCCCCGGCTAGAGAACTGTAGATCCAGGAATGCCTCCCTTACCTCTGCCCCAAGACACCTTTAGTTTTGTGCCTGTCTTGGGGCTTGAACTCAGGGCCTAGGGGCTGTCCCTGAGCCTCTCTGTGCGCAAGGTTGGTGCTCTACCCCTTGAGCCACAGCACCACTTCTGGTATTTTGGTGGTTCATTGGAGGTGTAAGAGTCTCATGGACTCCCTGTCCTGGGGCTAACTTTGAGCCCCAGTTCTCCAGATCCCAGTGAGTAGCTGGGATGACAGGCGTGAGCCACCACTGGCACCCAGTGAGGATGTTTTGGAGGTCTTTGGCCGTGGAGATAATGCATTTGCGCCTCTCTCTGTCAACACACGTGTGTCTCCGCGCAAGCGTGTGCTGCGCGGGCTGCTGTCCCCTCCGTTGGGGTCTGGGCCTGTCTGTGTCAGGGTGGGTAGCTAACGGCTATGTCCCATGCCCGGCCGGCAGGTGCCCATCAGAAGCGCCTGATTCCCATCAGGTACAAGGCCATGAAGAAGGAATTTCCCAGCATCCTCCGGTTCATCACAGTCTGTGACTACACCAACCCGTGCACCAAGTCCTGGTTCTGGACCCGCCTGGCCAAGGCCTTGTCCTTGCCTTGATGCACAGCTCTGGGCCACAGTGGGGGGGACATGGATGTGCCTCACCCCCCCCTTCCTCCCTCCTCCTCGGGGTGGGGGTGGGGGTGGAAACCTGCACCTCTTATTTCTGGACAGCCCTCCTCAGATGACTGCCTGGGCCGCCTCCCAGCACCCGAGGAGCAGGGAGTGAAAATCAGACCAGAGCTCTGTGCAGATCACAGCAGGAGATGTCCCAGGGCATCCCGGCTGTCCCAGAGAGATCGTTTAGGGGGGTCAGGGGGCAGAGGGGGGACCTAGGTCCCCTTTCTCCTACTCAGGGTGGACTCAGGGAGGATTCCCTCCCTGACCCCTGAACCTCCACACCCCTTGATCAATGGATGGATGTGGGCAGTAGGGGCAGGTGTTCACCTCCACTGTCTAGTGGCTGGTGGGTTGGGCAGGGGTCCGGGTCCCTGGTGGGGCCATCTGTCCCAGTGACCACAGGCAGGGAAACTGTTTCCCTGTGCCACCCAGAAGTAGTCTCTGACAGCTTCCTGCCCCTCCCTCCTTCCTCACTTCCTTATTCCTTCTCTTCCTCTTTCTTCCCCCCCTTCTCTCCCTCCTTCCTCCTTTCCTCCTCCCTTTCCTTACCCTTCTTCTCTTTCCTCCCTCCCACTTCCTCCTGGATACTGTGCCTTTTAAAGCAATTTGAAATCGCCTTTCTACAAGTTTTTATATGCTTCCTGAAAACTTCTGTGAGATCTGACAACTGCATACCCATTTTCTAAAGCCTAGATTTAAAATAAAGACTGTTCTATTTTGTGTATGAGTGTGTGCGCACGCATGTACGTGTGTGTGCCAGCCTAAGGAATCTGGGAACGGTAAGCTGGGGTGCAGCCTTTGCAGGGAGGGGGAGAGGCTGGCATCCGTGGATGGGTTGGTATGGGACTGGGAGAAATTTCCAGATAACCAGGCGACTCCACCATTGTGACTTTACCCAGCAGAATTAGCCACTGGCCACATGTAGCAACTGGGCACTTGCATTGTGACTACTTCAAATGCAGATGTGCCAGCCAGGCACCGGCCACTCAAGCCTGTTATCCCAGAAGGGTGGGATCAGAGGATCACAGTTCAAGGCCAGCCTGGACCAGAAAGTCCGTGAGACTTATCTCCAATCAACTACCAAGAAGCTGGAAGTGGCACTGTGGCTCTAAGAAGTGATAGAGCACTAGCCTTGGCCACAAAAGCTCAGGGCCAAGTGCCTGGACCCTGAGTTCAAGTCCCATGACCGGCACCACCACCACCCCCCCCCAAAAAAAAAAATTGAAGTAGAATAAGCCAAGAAGGGGTTTGATCTGAGAGAAGACCAAAGACACACTTCCTGTCATTTCCCTTCTTGTTTTGGTTTCCTGAAGATGAAATATCAGGCCTGCTTCTCCACTTCCCTAATCTGCACTTGTGCAGGAATTTAACCCAGCCCTCTCTCTACACACGGATCTAATACTTCCTTCCTTCTTCCCAGACAACTGGGTAGCAATAGAAGTACAAAAGGCCTCTGTGGTTGCTGCAGAGCCCTGAGGGTTTTATCTGCCCCACCAAAGTGTCATCATCTTTCTATGTGAATTCTGCTTTAAAAAAAAAAATTAGGGGCTAGGGGTTTACCCCAGCGGAAGGGCGCCCACCTGGCACGGGCAAGGCCCTGGTCTTCAGCCCTGGAAAAAAAAGATTTTTTTTTTTTTACCCTGTGGCTTGAACTCAAGGCCTGGGTGTCCTCCCTTAGGTTTTTTTACTTAAGGCTGGTGTTCTACCACTTAAGCCACACATGAATGGCAAATGGGATTTGCCATTCATGAAAGTGTGGTCTCAAACTGGGCCTGCCAGTGGCTCACACCAGAGTAGCCCAGCTACTCTGAGGCTGAGATCTGGAGGATTGTGTTCAAAACCAGCCTGGGCTGAAAAGTTGTAAGACTCTTATCTCCAATAAACTAATCAGAAAAGGCTGGAATTGGCACTGTGGCTCAAGATAGCCTTGAGCACAAAGAGGCTCAGGGACAGCGCCCAGGCCCTGAGTTTGCGCCAGGATGGCACGTGTGCATGCACACACACACACAGCATTAATTTGGGCAGGGGTAAGACCTGGACAGGGGAGGCAGAATTGCCATTCCTGGAAGGAGGGAGGGAAGTGTCACAGGGTTACATATGGGCTAAGGCAGGCCCACGAAAACTGGCTGGAGGTTGGAAGGCCTGTCAGACTGAAAGGAAAAGCTTGGACCAAGTGTGTACCACAAAATTACTATGACCTGAAATGTGAAAAACCAGACGTTATAAATTATGCCATCTACTTCAAAAGAGCACAGAAACCTGTGCGTTAATCGTTGAGCATTTGTCCGCCTATCAACCAGCTTAAGAAATGGAACATTCCCTGTATTGTAAGTGCGTGTGTGTGTGTGTGTGTGTGTGTGTGTGTGTGTGTGTGTGTGCCAGTACTGGTCTTGAACTCAAGGCCTGACAAATGTCCCTTAACTTCACTCAAGGCTGGTGTTAGGTTTTTAAAAAGAGGTAGCCGAGTAAGAACAGCACCATGCACGTGGTATTCAGGTAAGGGGTAGGTTTATTCATCGTACTGGCTGGCACCAGGCCATGTTGGTCCTCCATGCAGCTGGGAAAGGCCTGGGAAAGAGAACTGGGAAAGAGAAGAGGGCTAGAAAAGGGTGTCTGGGCCTGGGGTAGGCCTTATTTAGGGTATGGGCGGAGAAAGGTTTGGCCACATCGAATTCAGATGTGACCTCAGAGGATGCAGATGTGACCTCTTCCAGGTGTGCCAGTTGCAGGTACTGGGTGGAGACTTCGCTGCAAGGAGGATGGAGTCTTCTCACCATCCAGGAGCGGACCTTATCGCTGGCGCTCTACCACTTGAGCCAAGTACCACTTCTGGCTTTTGCTTTTTGTCGGTTGTGGGGCTTGAGCACTCTGGGCTTGGGTGCCTGTCCTTGTGCTTTTCAGCTCAAGGAGAGCTGCTCTATCCCTTCTGTTTTCTTGTGGTTTATTGGAGATAAGAGTCTCATGGACTTTCCTGCCTGGGCTGGCTTTGAACCTCAGATCTCAGCCTCCTGAGTAGCTAGGGTTACAGGTCTAAGCCACCAGCACGTGGCTTTTTTTTTTCTTTTTTTATAAAACCAGTCCTGGGGCTTGAACTCAGGCCCTGGGCTCTGTCCCTGAGCTACTTTTTGCTCAAGGCTGGCACTCTACCTCTTAAGCCACAGCACCATTTCTGGATTTTTCTGTTTATGTGGTGCTGAGGAATCAAACTCAGGGTTTCATGCACGCTAGGCAAGCACTCTACCGCCTCCTACTCTACGACTTCTAGCCACCTTCCCAGGCCCTAAATAGTATTATATATTTTTGCAGCCTGTATATAATTCTATTTATTTCCCAATCTTCTCTGTGGGGATTTAGATATACATGTATGTTATATATAATTACATATGCAATGTTGTTGCTTATGATTAATATACATTTCCAGTCCACATACCGTATATCCCCAGTCTCCTGTGGGAATATATACACAATTATATGTCACATACAATGCATCCACTTATTTTGCTGGTCGTGGGGCTTGAACTCTGGGCCTGGGCGCTGTCCCTGAGCTCAAGGCGAGCGCGCTACCACTTGAGCCACAGCGCCACGTCTGGTTTTCTGGTGGTTCATTGGAGATCCCAGAGTCCCCGGCCTTTCCTGGCCCAGGCTGGCTTTGAACCGCGATCCCTTTGAGCGCTAGGATGACAGGCGTGAGCCACTGGGCACCGGGCTTGTTATTTATTATTACATGTCATATGTATAATCATATATAAAATAAAAATATATATATTAAAAAATCCGAAACACACCCCAGTACTGGGGGATGGTGCGGCCGGGCACTTCCGCCTCGGCGCCGATGACGTCACGGATGCGACTTCCGGTGCTCCCCGGTGTTTTCCCTCCCGCCCCTCTCTCCTCCTCCCCCCCCGTCTGACCTTTCACCCCGGTGGGCGGCGGCCCGCCCCCTCCGCAGGCTCCTCCACCCCCCCCTCGGCGCGGGTCCGCACGTCTCCCGAGCGTGACGCTCCGCGGGGTGACGTCACCGCAGAGCCCACGATCCGGGAGGCGGGAGTAAGTCGTGATTGACGTCCACGCCTGCCTATGAGCCGTCACGGCCCTCCGTAAGCCTGACCAATGGGGGGTGACGGAGCCCCAGCGGTTAGAGAGCCGTCCCGCCCCCCACACGTCCGGTTACGGCCGCGCCGCCATGTTGGGTGTGGCGGAAGTCCCTCCGTGCAGAGACTATCGGCTTTGTGTTGCGCCCCCCCCCTCCGCCCCCACCCAGAGCCGAACCCCTTCCGAGGCTTGGCTTCTCCGCCGTCGCCCATGTTCCCTTCCCTCCTCCCCGCGCGGACACGGCCTCCACGCCGGCTCTGCATCCCGCCACACCTAAGATGGCGGCCCGGACATGCCGCTCCCGAGGAGGAGGAGGAGGAGGAGGAGGAGGAGGGCCGGGCGTATCCGTCCTTCCGGCGGCGCGGTGACGTCGGCGCGCTGCGTGCGTGCGTGCGGCCGGCAGGTGGAGGCCGAGCCGCCGTGGGGTGGGGGGGGAAAGTTGGGCGCCGTGCGCTGCGCGCTGAGGGCTCGGGGCGGAGAGGGCGGGACGGCGGCCGAGGGGCCGGGCGGGAGGGGAGTGCGCGGCGGCGGCGGAGGCCCCCGGGGCGGCGGCGGCGGCGGAGGCCCCCGGGGCGGCGGCGGCGGCGGCGGCGGAGGCCCCCGGGGCGCCGAGGCCTGGCGGGCTGCGCGGCCGGGCCCCCGCGCCTCCCCTCCCCGGGCGCGGCCCCAGGCCCCAGGCGGTTGGCGCCGGGGAGCGACGCGCGGCCTGAGGAGGCGAACCCCGAGCGGCGGCCGCCGCCGTCATGAGCGAGGACGCGGCCGCCCTGCCCTGGTCCATCAACCGGGACGACTACGAGCTGCAGGAGGTGATCGGTGAGCCGAGGGCGGGGAGAAGGGGCCGGCCCTGACCCCCCCCCCCCCCCACGGTGTGGAACGGGAGCGGCCGGGCCGGGGGTGAATGCGTCTGCGGCGGGTGTGCTTTTTGGGGGTGGGATGCTGTGATCCTGGGGCGGGGGGAAGCGTCGCAAGGCCTGGGCTATGCATGACAGGGGGACGGGGCCTGCGGGGACGCGCGTGGGGCCGGGGCCCCGAGATCCCCGGGGCTGATGATGGAGCGAGAGGGTGGAGCGGATCCGTGGTCGGGAGGGGACGGTGGCCTGTTGTAGAGGTGGATGCAGGGCGATGCTTTTGGCAGGGGTGGTGAGCCAAACGGGCTGATGAACGACGTCGGGGGGTCGGGGGGGGGGGGAGTCTGGGATCGTGGGGGGGGGCAGGTTGACCCCTGAAGAGTGATCCCCTCCCCCCCCCACACACACACCCAGAAAAGGGGCGCAGATCGGGCAGAGCTGGAAGGATCGTGGCCCCTGATCTCTCTCTCCCCTAATGAATTTACCCACAAGGAGCGCACCCACCTTGAGCGGGACAGCACTGGCGGCCTTCTGATGTTCAAGCCTCAGTTCTGCCACAAAATGAAGTCAAGAACTTAATAATAAAAAGATGTAGTTGGGGCTGGTGGTAGGAAGAAACTAAAGTAGGGCAGACCCTGGAGACAGTGGTGTGAATTCAGGGACAAAATGGTCTTAATGATGCTAAGTTGAGCACTGAAAGATTGAGAAATGCTTTTTACTTCAGAGCCTGGGCAAATTTTTTTTTTTTTTTTTTTTTTTTTTGGGGGTCCGGTCATGGGGCCTG